TTTAATCTTTTTTTTTAATTTTTAGAGGTAACGACTACAATGTCTGAGGAGATGATGTTTGCTTCTACAGTTTTTCTGTATGTTTTTCTGGTAATTGGAGCTGTCTTCACCTTCATTCTTTGCTGCTATTGCTGTTGCCAAAAAGATGATAAAAATGTGAAGAAGAAACCGACTCCTGCTCCAATCGAGATTCTAGAGCAGAAATATAGCCGTACTGAGGCTATCATAATTTGTGAAAAACCAGAAGTAAATTCTCAAAAAGTATAGAATTTCTCTTAATTCTAATCAAAATTTTTTCAATTTTCAGTCTCTGCCTCAAAGTCAACCATCGTCTCTTCCTGTCGTGTCGCTACCGCCTTCACTTCCATCTGAGAGAAGTCTTCCTGTATTCTCTACTCAACCTTCACGTTCAATTCTGTCTGAGCCGAAGCAGCGTTCTGTCACTACTGCTCGACTTCACAATCCTTCTGATCATCAATCGAATTCGCTTCCTCCAGCCTTTCGAGGATATCCTGGGTAAGTAAAAATTTTAATCAAAAAAGTAATTTTCCAACTTTTCAGTACCCCTCCATCGTTCAATGCTTCGTACACCATAATTTCTCCAGTGGTGCCCTTTCAAGGCCAACATCATCAGCAAGCGTCTACAATGAAGTCTAAGGAGTATAGCAACCGAAGCCGGCGATCTCCCAAACGTTCTCGTCGCAAATATGGGCGAAAACATGATGAGAGTGATTATAGCCGTCGTAGTCACACGATACGATCCCAATCTAGTTCGCGTAGTTATCCGTCGGACTGGGAGGAGAGGGGACCGTCTTGGCGTCAATACCGATCTTGGCCTAAAAAGAGGAGCAATTCGAGGGGCAGGTCTAGGAGCAGAAGCCGATCGAGAAGCCGGAGCAGGGGGAGAGGTGGAAGCAGGAGGACGAGCAGGACTATGAAAGACTGGAGAGAATAGAAGCAAAAGAGAAGGCTGAGGATAATAGATATCGGGGATTGTTGTAAAATACTTGTAGATAAATAAATAGGTATATTGTAAGTATATGTTAGTATGTATAATGTTTGTATAGATTCTTCAATTGTTCTATTAAAATCCCTAATATTGTATTGTAAATGTCGTCATGTGTACTATAAAAAATTCTTGATTTATGATAGTTTTAATAAAATCCAAAAAATCCTTTCGTTTTTTTAATTTAATTTCAGTTTGTCTTTTAAAATTCTACTTTTTGTCTTTTCTTTACAAAATTCAAGAAAATTAAAAATCAAAATTTTTAATGGAAAGCATAACTTCAAAAATAATTTTTATTAGAAAATTTTAATTTTAATCACTTATTTGTTCTCTACCAGCTTGATAATTTTGTTTCCAATCCACTCTTCATTATTCAAATTTTTTAAATATACAAAATTACTGGTTTAATTTCTTTAAGTATTTTTTATAGGTGTTTTTTTTAATTTTTATATACATATGTACTTTATTTGTTATTTTCGCAATTTTATAATAGTAAACAAGTAAGCAGACCTATTTGAAAAAAAATTGTTTAGAGTTTTAAAAAAAATACAGACAAATGTGTTTATGTTGTTTTTGTCTAAAGTATTAGTAGAGAGAGTTGTTGTTTTGGACTTTAAAATTTATTTTGTCTGGCGAGTTTACTTCTCATTCATCCCCCCCCCCCTCCCTTCCCTTTTTTTCGCCAATTGACAACCTCTACCTACTAACTATTTGCTATTTTATTTCCTGCCCGTCGTCTGTCACTCATTCATTCAAAAATGTAGAAAACAGCCTTTCTCTCTATTATCTCTTCATAGTATTTTCGCCCTAGACAACACAAATATGTTTGTTTGTTTGTGTATCCATGGACGTTCGAATATTCTTTTAAATAAATATTTTTATTATTACATTTGTTAATAATATATTTTTATAAAATTATTTTAAATAAATTATTTTTTAAATAAAATTTAAATTTCTCGTTAAATTATAATAAAATATAATCTAAATATTTTTATCGACAATATGTATCACCAAAATCCCCAAAAACCTCCTTTCGTGTATTTTTAACTCCTCAACTGCTACATGCATAGATTTGTAGCTCTTTTGTAATCTTAAATTTTTTAAATTAAAAAATAATTTTTTTGGATTTTTAAAAGCATTTTTTATTTAAAATTTTTCCTTTAAAATTCTCATTCTCTATTTAATTTAATTATAAACTCTATTAAATTCACAATTCTTTTCTCATTTTTCATCAAATTAATTTGCCATGACAGCCATCTGGCAGATTATAATATAAAATAACGGACCGGAAATTACACGCACTCAGAGCCCCGCAGTTCTATGTATGTAAATATCTCTTTTTAAAAATTAATTTCTCTTAAACATACAAGCCCAACAAAGAATAGAAAGAAAGGAGAGAGGGGAGATATATCCAAATGTGCCATTTTATATATTTGGCTATAACTCTCTTTTTTTTCTAAAATTATTTTATCCACTACACAAAAAAAGTTTTTTTTCTATATCTTTCTTTCTCTAAAAATTAATAGAAAAAAAAGTGTTGGGAAAAATATTTTTGTTTTAAACAAATTTTTAAGTTAGCAATGGGGGTATATACCGGATATATTATTCTCTTTTTTTTATTTGTTTGCATGCACTTCTCTAAATATTTAAATTAATATAAACTTTGAATTAAAATGTTTACATATAAACGTGGAAAGAATGGAAAGTTTTTCCCCTCATTTTTGTCATTATTTGTAATAAATATTCTTTTTTATTATTTTATTTTTGTTAGGTTTCTATTATTTACTGACATATTTTAGTAATTAAATTTACATAATTACTAGAAAATATAATTTTAAATAAATTTTGCTAAGAATTTTCTTGTAAAAAATTTACAATTAAAAATTGTGTTTTGATATTTTTTAACAAAAAAGTATACTATTGTAATTCCAAATATACTTACTTTATTTTTTTAATAGACGGGAAGAGAATTTAAGTATTAATTTAGTTAAACTTTTCTGTTCTTTCTTTTCTATAAAAATATTTTATAGCCAGTCGGTCGTTCTAGAAAAATATATTTAGTATTACATATACATATTAAGTACATTTATTTTCATAGCCAATCACTTCAAAATCTATCAATTTTTATCTCGTTCCCGAATAGAGACAGTCGAGAATTTAAAAGGCTGGAGACAAAAAAAATTGAAAAAAAGAGGGAATAGAAAATACATATTTTATATTTCTTTTTCCCTCTAATATTTTTTGTTACATTTTTCTCATTCCCGTTTGTATATTTAGAGGGGCAAACAAAAACTCTCGACTAACACATCGAAAAGTAAAAATAAATTTATGAACGTTTATTTTAAATAGACAAAAACAACAAATGTTTTTCTTCTTTTTTTTTGTTTTGATGATTATTTAAAAAAATATTTTTTTGTTTGTTTATATTTAAAAACAACATAATATTTGTGTTTATGTTGCTTTTTATTTGGTTATTTTTTAATTTAATGACGTGATATAAACAGGAAATGTTTTTGTTTAAATAAAAAATTCATAATTTGTTTATTCAAAAAAATATTTTTTGTTTAAATTTTTCTGTTATTTTTAAAAATTTGAGAAATATTTTTTAAATAATTTTTTGTTTTTATTTAATTATTTTAAGAATTTTTTTATAAAGTTGATGGAGGAGATACTCTCCACGGTTCCTGGAACCGTGGAGAGCACTGGAAAATTATTCATTAATTTTCTGATTTTTTAAATAAACTATTAAATTGAGAAATTAGGAATTATTTTTAACTATTTTTTTGGGAAATTACTTTATAAATTTTTAAAAATAATAAAAATATTTAAATAATTTATTTTAAATATAATTTTTGATTTTATTTAAATAATTTATTAAATTTAAATTTACATTCATAAAATTAGAAATGTTGTTATTATTTCCATGTGAATGTAAAATATTTAAATAAAAATATTTTAAATTATTTTTTGTCACATAAATTAATCTTTATAAAAATATTTACACAAAAATTATGTCTTCCTCAATACTTCCTTAACTCGTCTTAAATAATAATAATAATATTTAATTAAATTAACGAAAAGTATCAGAGATTATTATTCCTTTTAACAAAATTTCACAAAATATTTATGGACATGAAACATGTTACCAATGAAAATTCTTCCTTCTGCTTTTTAAATACTTTAGGACTTCACGCGTTACTAATCTTTTTATCCTCTTGACTTAATTTCACACAATGAAAGCACTCTCTAACTTCGTCCCCACCCCGGCAAAATTTTTCCCGAGGGGTGACGTAATAAAGAGATTCTTCCACTTTAAATTCATCTTTACCCTTTTTTACATATTTTCTTTCAATAATTAAAAACACCTCTTCGCAACCATTCTAGACTTGTATTAATCTAAACGCCTACTTACAAATTATATTAATAAACATCTTTTTTATAAGGAAACTTTGCTCCTAAAAAGCAATTAAATAATAACAACATTCATTAAGACTGTCAATAAATAGTTAAAAATACTTCCTCTTTTTGAGGGGAGAAACAACCGTGTCTACTCAGCATTTATCAATAAATAATAATGAATACTGGCAATGGGGATAGTGGAGGGTTCTTTGGTAGGTGTAAATAAATAAATAATTTTACTTGGCAAGTTTTTTACTTGGTAATATTTATATTAAGAAATGTTTTCCCGCAAAACTCTTTAAATCCAAACCAATCACTTTAATATACTCATTTCTGTATATAGTAACTAAAAATCAATTAAAAATAGCGACCAACTTCTTTCCAACCCTTTTTAGATTTATTTTAAATTAGCTATCAGTCATAGTTAGTAGAGTATTTGTGTTAAATTAGTAAGAAGTTTAAACGTCACAATTTCGTTTAAATTTGTCAAAATTAGATTTATTTTGTTTGAAAATTTTTGAGAAAATGGAAAATTATTTTAGGAATTTAGGATTAAAATATACAAATATTCACCGTTATGTATTAGTAAAGTCACTTCCTTAGAATTTTTATGGATTCAAAGAGATTTTTAGCGCCTCTTTGGCGATTTGTCACTTTAACCAATTCTCCCTCTTCTTCAAAAACAGCGCCGGCTCCGGCTATGGTTTCTGCATCTCCAACAGCTCCAATTCCACAGCAACAATCAAAACCTAGCATTACTGGTCAGCAGGAGGCACAGGCAGGACAAGGACAGAGGACACGTAAAGCAAGCAGTACAAGCAATTTTTTGGGTAATTTTTTTTCTAATAACGATAAAGTTAAATAAGGGTTCCGTCCTATTTAAGAGTGTTTGAAAAAAATTTTTCTTTTATATCAAAAAAAACAAGGATAGGTTTTATAAAAATAAAATTTCAATTCGATTTAGCCTAGTAAGAATATACAAATGTAGATTAGGTAGTCTATTTTGAGAAAAAATTAAAAATATTTTTATATTTTTTCATTTACAAAAATTGATTTATTTGTTATTAATCGATAATTGTATTTTTCTTTACTAAAAAAATTTTCATTTACTAATTTATTTTTTGGTTTAATTTTAAATAAAAATTTTATTTTAAACCTAAAAAAATAAAATCATTATTTTTCTCTCTTTTATTTTACAATTTCCATAGCCTCTCTTGCTTCATCTATTTACGGCTCTTCTACCCCATCTGGTGGTACAGGCTCAAGCCACACACAGTCATTTAGCATTCAAGGGGATATTGATGCTACTCAACAACGAAATTCTCCACTTCCATCATTAAGCTCAATTGGCAGTGATGCAACTTTAAATAGGTTTTTTAGAGATTAAATTTAATTTTAAATATTTTTTTAGAAAAATGTCAACAGCTAGTCAAAAAGTACGAACAAGGGAAGACGTTATTTATGAAGGTTTTTATTTTGAAATTAAAGTTTTATCTAAATTTTTAGGTTGGTTATTAAAACGTGGAGAGCACATCAAAAATTGGCGTCAACGTTATTTTGTTAGTTGTTCAAAAATTTTTTAAAAATTATTTTTAATTTATTTAAAGGTTCTTTTCAAAGATGGCTCACTTTTAGGCTACAAAGTAATTTTTAGGTTTAAATCAGCATTTAAAAAAAAATTTTTTTAGTCAAAACCAATCGATTCCTATAATGATCCTTTAAATGATTTTACTGTAAAAGATGTTCAGGTTTTAAAAAAAAGTATTTTTTAATCGAATATTTTTTAGTTAATGAAATTAGACCGTCCAAAGCCAAATACAATACTTGTTAGAGGCCTCCAATGGACTACAGTTATTGAAAGAATGTTTTGTGCTGAAACACCCGATCAGCGTGATTGTTGGATAAATGCAATAAAATCGGTGGCAGAAAATTTAAAACGCGAAGAATTACTTCATGGAGGAGTTCAGGACCAAGAAATGATGGTTAAATTATTTAAATTTTTAACGGAATTTAAATATTTTAATAGGATGTCTCTCAATTACCCCAAGCAATGGATCCAACCCAATATCCGTGGACTTATCAACCAACTCCCCCTATGTTTGATCCTCAACAACATCAACAATTTGAGAATGGTTATATGCCTGGATTGCAAGGATTTGGAGGAATTCCAAACCAATTCCATACAACTGTGGCGGCTGCTGGTGCTGCACAGCAAAAACAATTACTTCATGAGGCAATGGTTAAGGCGCAAGCAGCGGCAAATGCTGCGGCGATGGCTACAAGTTCAGGGGGTAATGTGTGCGCTGAAGCTGTTGCTGCTGCAGAGAAGGCTGCTGCTGAATTGAAAAAACCAGAGGGACAGAAAACGCGAAGCAGAATTGTAATTTTTAATAAATTATTTTTGGAAATCATTTTTTACTCTTTTTACAGACATTGGATGACTTTGAGTTCTTAAAAGTCCTTGGAAAGGGAACTTTTGGTAAAGTAATCCTCTGCCGTGAAAAGAGAACAAGTCGTCTTTATGCAATCAAAATTTTGAAGAAAGAAGTTATAATACAAAAAGATGAGGTTTTTCTTTCTCTAGTTTTTTTAAAAAGTTAAAAAATAAAAGGTTGCCCATACTTTAACTGAAAATCGTGTACTTCAACGTTGTAAACATCCATTCCTTACTGAATTAACCTATTCCTTCCAAACAAGTGACAGACTTTGTTTTGTTATGGAATTTGCAATTGGTGGAGATTTATATTATCATTTAAATAGACAAGTTGGGAAATATAAAGAAGGATTTTCTGAAAGTAGAACACGTTTTTATGGAGCAGAAATTGTTTTGGCTTTGGGTTATCTTCATGATAATAATATTGTTTATAGAGATTTAAAGGTTTTTTAAAGTTAAATATTTTATTTTTTAAAATTTTTTAGTTGGAAAATTTATTACTTGACAGAGACGGACATATTAAAATTGCTGATTTTGGTCTTTGCAAGGTTTTTGAATTTTAAATTTAATTTGAAAAAAATATTTTTAGGAAGATATTTCATTTAGTGGACGAACTCGAACATTTTGTGGGACTCCAGAATATTTGGCACCCGAAGTTTTGGAAGAAAATGATTATGGACGTTCTGTTGATTGGTGGGGAGTTGGTGTTGTTATGTACGAAATGGTTAGTTTATTTAATTGAGGAAAGTGAAGATAAATCTAGCAATAAGTTAATTAAAGGGAAGATTTTAGAGTTAGTATTCTGGTAAGGAGGAGGGATTGATTTTGATTATTAAACAACATTTTGTTTCAAACTTTAATCAATTCATACTTTTTTTAATTTTAAATTTTTTTACTTTTAAGATGTGTGGGCGTTTACCTTTTTACTCAAAAGAGCATGAAAAATTATTTGAAATGTTTGTTTTCAAATTAAAAATAGTTTTAAAAAAGAATTTTATTTTTTAAAGGATTTTGCAATGTTCATTACGTTTTCCATCACGTTTATCACCGGAAGCCAAAGTTCTCCTTTCTGGTTTATTAGTAAAAGATCCAAATAAACGTTTGGGTGGAGGTCCAGATGATTATCGAGAAATCCAAGCAACGGCTTTTTTTAAGCCTATTGACTGGGAAAAACTTTACAGAAAAGAAATTGAGCCGCCATTTAAGCCTCAACTTTCTTCTGAATCTGACACTTCTTATTTTGATTCGGTTAATTTCTTTTTAAAATTATTTTTCAAAAAATTTCTTTTTTAAAGGAATTTACTCGAGAAGCTGTTCAATTAACCCCTCCAGCAGTCCGTAATGGTCCTTTAGATACTTTAGATGAAATGGATGAAATTCAAAATAATTTTGTTCAATTTTCATTCCATCATGGAGAATTAGGGTCGTCACTTCGTGAAAACAGTGAAATAATGGAAGAGTAAAAATTTGAATTTTTTTAATCAAAGGAAGCCCCCAATTGCATATATAGTAGTTATTCCATATTTGTAAATAATAAGAATTTCTTTCCAAAATTTGTTTAAAAAATTAGAAATTGTTTGGAAATAATTTCCAGACATTTATTTTCTTTAAATATTTAAAAACTCTTTTTAAATAAAAGAAAATTCTTTTTAATTCTTTCTACATATTCCTAAAAATTTCTTCTTTGACCAAAAAACCTCACCTTTATTTTTAAAAATTGTAAAATATATGTATAACTAACTAAATAAATACATTCTTTTGCTTATCCCGGTTAATTAATTTACTTTTTCTATTTTATATTCTTTTAATAATTTTTAATAGAATTTTCTCTGTTCATAAAAAATTGTTTATTAATTTTTCCTTTTCAGTTTTTTTTTATTTTTTTAGTAAAAAAAAAAAGAAATGATTTTTTAATAAAGATGAGTTAATTGTTAATTAGTTTAAAAAAATTTTTCTTATAAAAAAACAAACAATCGGACCTTCAATTAGGACTTATTCCAAATCAAAACTTCCATTTCGTTAAACATTAATTAACAAATTAAAATTTAATTTCCGTTTAATATTTTTTGTGTTTGTTTAGATGATTACATAGACTAACAATATATTAATTTTATATGACTTTAAACTTAAAATTAATTCAGTCAAAAAATTGTTTAAATAAAATTTATTAGTCGCGCACTTTAATTTTTCTTCTCAAGACATTATTAATAAAAAACTTTTAATTATTTAAATGATGACTGGATTTTTTACTACAAATTGTTTTGATAATGAAAGTGATCCTAATTTTATTTTACATGAACAAGTTGAGGAATATTTAAATAACCCTTCTAAAAAGCTTAAAAAAATATTTTTTAATTTTTCTTTTTTGAAGGAAGAAAGAAATTGGATTTATATTCACTTTCAAGGATATCCATATTTAATTATTGGATTACCTGGTTTATTCCTTACTTCATTACTTTCAATAGCTTTAAGTCTTTCAATTTTCCAAAAACAAAATCGACTTAGAAAACGTCGACGGTTTGGAAATAAATTTTATATTTTGTTGTTAAATAGAACAATTGGGGATTTATTTGCCTGTTTAACATCTTTAATGATTTCAATATATACAATAATGTTTCCAGGAAATATTAAGTATTATAAAATTTGTAAATTAAAATAAAATTTAAAAAAAAAGTACAAAAATAATGCAATTATTAAATGTTTGTTTAATTGGCTGTTTTTGGTCAACAATGATTACTTATGTCTCTATTTCTCTTTTAAAACTTTTTGGAGTTGCCTATCCACTTAAATATCGTCAAAAAGTTTCAAGAAAAACTTGTATTAGAATTGTTCAAATAAAGTTTAGATTAATTTAAAATTAAATTTAAATTAAATTTTTTAGTTGGGTAATTATTTTGTTAATGATTTTATTGTCTTATTTAATTTATTTAATTGTTTATATTCCTTCTTTGAGTAAATGGACAGGTTGTAGAGCAGAGACTTGCCTTCAATTTTTTGTTTATCAACCAAGAAATTTTCTTATTTCAAATACTTATTTATTTACAATTAGTTGTACTTTAATTGCTGGTAAATTAAATTAATTAATAGAGGGGAGGGAAGGGAATAATTAAATGGGGGAGGGGGGGGGGGAGATGAATAAATAATATTAAATTTAAAAATAGTTATATTTATTCATCATCAAAATATCAAAGTTGAATTAATTTCAACAACAAAAACAATTTCTTTTAAAAATTCAAGTCCTTCAACAAACGAAAATATTTCAAATAAATGGAATCAACTTACAAATTCTTTAAATATTAAAAATAAACAAAGGTTTCTTTTGTTTATTTTTAAAAATATTTATTTTTATTTATTTTAAAGTGCTCGTCGTTTACCTTTAGCTCCTTTAATTACTGGACTAATTACTTTTACAATTTTTCATGCTCCATATGCTTTATTTGCAATATATTTAACACCAATATTTACTGATTTATGTTTTTATTTAATTAATTATCGACTTGTCCAACGTTATTTGGGTATAGTTAGATGTTGTGTTTTGTTAAGAATTTGTTTGGATGCAATTTTGGCTTTTGGAACTGATAAAGAATTAAGTAAAATAATTATTGGAATTGTTAAAGAAGGAGAAGATGAAGAGGAAGGAGGATTTGATAGTAGTAGTAGAAGTAGAATAAATACAATTAATAGTTTTGTGGTAAATATTAATGAAAGAAAAAATATTAAAAATAAAGAAGAAAATAAATAAAAATAAATTTTAAATATTTTTTGTTTGAAAATATTTAAAGATTTTAATAATTGTTGGTTTTGAAAAATAAAACGTTTAGTTAATTACGGTAAATGTCCGTTTGGTGTCCTACATGTCCGCAAAGAGAATGCGCATTTTTCCTTCCTTTTCTTGCATTTTTTTCTGCAAGGAGTGGCGCCCATTTTTCCTTTGTGTATGGTAGCCTATTGGCTTGTCAAAGGAAAGAGGAAAAATAATAAAAATTAATTACTAATAGAGTACAAATAAATATTTTATTTTATAAATGATCAGAGATGAAAAATTTGGGACAACATTCTCGAATAGATTTCTAAAATATCTGGGGGAATCTTAATCCATTCGAAATCCAGAATGCTTCAATCTGCTGTGTATTTGCGCCGTTGACTGGATTCATAAAAAATTGTTGATAACTTACTGTTTGGTGTTGATATCCTAACTGATCTAAACCTAAAGTGAATTAATTCTGTTTGTAAATCAATCTAACATTATTAGTTATAATAACTTTATTAGTATTAAATTAAGTACTCTATTAGTAATTAATTTTTATTATTTTTCCTCTTTCCTTTGACAAGCCAACAGGCTACCAAACACAAAGGAAAAATGGGCGCCACTCCTTGCAAAAAAAATGCAAGAAAAGGAAGGAAGAATGCGCATTCTCTTTGCGGACATGTAGGACACCAACCGGACATTTACCGTTAATTACATTAAAAGGGGACATCGGTTTCCAGTTCTGGAACTGGAACCCCCGCATCACAGTTATGTATCAATAATTTTTAAAATTTAAAATTATTTAAAAAAAGTAGGGGCATTTTACTTTACAGTTATTCTTTTAGAGCAAAATCTTTATCGAAATGATGAAGGGAATTTTTTACGACTTAAAAATCCTTTATAAAAAATTATAAATTACGAAAAAAATTATGCATCTGTTACAAAAAACTGTCAATTTAGCTTTTTAAATATTTTTACTTAAAACATTAATTTATTTAATTCAAAACAATTACTTAAAAATTAAAATTTCTTTATTTAAAATAAAGGAGCATTTCCAGTAAGCCAAATAGCTGCACTCCTTCTTGCCCAGGGTGCTAAAATTAAACGATGTTTTAGGCGATTGTTGCTTCTCTTCAAAGGCGGAGGTTTTATAATCTCACGCATTTGCCTTCCTGATTCCAATTTGTTTGGACGGAAATCAAAATTATTATTAAAATCCCACTCTGTTCCATCAATGGTAAATTCCAAAGAATAAATTAAATGTTGTAAAGAGATTAATAAAAATAATAATTTAAAAGTCATTTTATTTATTTAGAAGAGAAAAAATGATAATAAATTTTTAGTAAAAACTTTTATGTATTCAAAAACATTCCAAAAATAATTTTTTAAAATTTAAAAATAACCAATAAAATATAAAAGTTCAACAAGTAAACGCCCAACTTAGTTTTTTTGGTTTTAAGAATGTAAAAATATTTTTGAAATGTTATTTTAGTTATTATACCCTAATTTTAAAAGTAATTTAGTAAAATGTTTGTTGGTGGGTCATTAACATAATTAATTCTTTAAAAAACAAAATATAGAAAATAAATTCAAATTTTTATTAGTATTTCGCCCAAATATTTTTATTTGTTTGTGGGATTTATGAAGAATATCTGTTAAGTAAAAATGAAAAATAAAAGATTCGACAAAATATTTATTATAAAGTGTACAAAATTATTTAAATATTTTGATCAAATTATTTAAACGATCAAAAAAAATCACTTTTTGTCGAAACTTTTATAGAATAAAACTATTTTGTGTGATTATGAAAGAAAAATCAAAGCACATTTTTAATTAATAAGAGGTTCTAAAACAAAATAATATCGCATCTCTGCGATTTAAAACTTATCATTACTCGGTTTATTAGTTAAAATAATAAAGGTATTGCAAATACTAAATTAAATATAACAGAAGTAATGGAAACAGAATTAGCTAAAAAAAATTTAAAAAAAACTTCTGTTATGTAATTATTTATAAGCACAGAATAAAATGTTATCATTATAATAATGGCTGTTTTTAGTTTATAGTTAAAAATACAACGTTAATTATTGTTGGGATCACAAAATGGGCATTTTTATTTGATGCGCAGGTATGTGAATGTATTTATTAAATATTAACGGCACAGGGATTTAATAAATGGTATAAACTTTTATGCCTTAAATATTAAATACACAATAAATCTAAATAATAAATTTAAAATTTTTTTTAATTAAAGAATTTTAGGCATAAAATCATCAAAAAATAATAAAGTTTGAAATGAAAAAATTAACTCATAAGCGTAAATAGGGGAACAAACTGATACGTAAAATTTAATTCTAACTCCCATGTTCTCATAATAAATTCTAGTTACAGTTATTAACCATCTATCAAAAGGTTTAACATCAAATTTATTCTAAGAGCCCAAATTCTAAATACGCTTACAAATTAATTTGAATATTTTAAATTAAGCGAGTCAAAAAGAAAATCTCACTAGGCAAAGAATGGATTTAAAAACAGATTAAGAATGCACTATTTAAAATAACTTTGGCATTGAAAGGAAGGAAGTGTTGGTGATATAAGAGAAATATTGAAATTTAAAGAATCGTTTTACCAAAATAAAAATCTAAAAAAGGCGCCTAAATATTTGTGGTTATAAACTTGTAGACCAAAACTCATTATTAAAGTTAAAAAACAGAAATTAAACCAAAAGCATTTTCTACAAGTTAAAACCGACAAATTCAAAAAGAAACTTTAAAAACTTAATTTACCTTTAGAAATTCTTAAAATCAAAGTGCTTTGCTGTTGCATCTTTTTTCGCTTTCTTGTCCTTCTAGTTGCTTAATTAGTGTTTGAATTGCATTGAATGCGGCATCAACATGGGCATATACTTCTGTTGGACCACTACCGTGACAAACCTGAAAATATTTAAATTGACTTTCTTAATTATTTAGAAATTAAAAAATACAAACAATAGGTTTAGCCAATCCAACAGTTAAAAGAGTAAAGCATTGCTCTTCATCAGCAGCGTCCTTCGACTAAAGATGAAATAAATTATAAAACATTATTCTAACAAACTAACCCTAGGAAAATCAGAGTAGGAGACAGTAAATTTAAAATGTTTGGATAAATGATTGAGAAAATTCTTTGCCCCAATCAATCCAAATTTATATTCCTTTTTAGTTTCAATTTGACCAGTGTCTTCACCATTCCAATGAGAAATAGAAAGGGATGCTGAAGTAGGCGATAATATTTGAGTTTGTGCCTCGATTGTTTTTATTGGTGTAATAAAAGGCGGAGGAACTAAAAAAATAAATTATATATTTTCAAGAAATGATACCATTTGGGAATCCAATATCAAAACCAGCATTCAATAATGGAGGCGCAAAATTTGAAGGAAGAGCTGCTGGTAAAGAAGCTGACATAATTTCCGATTGGTTCTGCAAATTTTGTGTAAATTAAACAGCCAAATTTAAGACTATTACTGTTTGAAACATATGTCGTTTTTCATCGACTAGAATCTCAGGAGATATTAGAGGCACACAAAACGAATCCATTGGCTTAGGAATTTCTCCAACAATTTCCTCTACGCCTTCCAAACCAGCCCAAATAGAATCTTTATCCATTTTTACAAGACCACGTTTCTCATTAACAGAATTGGGCCATTGAAGGAATTGTGTCGCAATTTTTACCAATTCTTGATTCTCGGCTTGACTAAGTGCTCGTTGAGAATCACGGTTTCGTCGTCGAAGGCGGCTGCCAAGCTCAGACTTGAGTGGAGCAATTGATGCGGCTGGATACATGGAATCTTCTGGCGGAGGGCATGCACTAACGTGTTCATTGAACGTAACTCGGCGACGAGTAGATGGAAGCGGAGGTGAATAATTCGTAGTTCTAAAATTAACTAAATTTAGTTACGTTGAGAATATTACTCTTTAATTGGAGATAGATTATTCTTTTCTTCAATTACAGGAGACCCATTTTCTACTTGTATTTGTTGAGGCAATTCAATATTGTTCAATGCCTCCTCAACTGCAGCAAATGTTTCAAAAGAATTTATCTTTTCATCCCAATTATTCGTTAGAAAAGAGTTGTAGTTTTGATCCATAATAGATTTGTTTTTCAAATCATTATTGACTTGCTTCTTAAGAAGACTCTTACCAGGTTGAGGCATAGACTTAATTTAAATGAGATAGAATAATTTCAGATAAATCTAATCTCACTTTAACATAACCAATACGACCTAACATTGCTTCGGCAGCAGCTCTTTTGGCTAATTTTTTGTTCGGTCCAGTACCCTGCTCGTGAAACCCCATGCATTGCACAGACACAGTAAATTCCTTGTGTCTATTTTGACCTTGTTCTGAGACAAAATGAAAAATAGGTTCACGTTCTTGACGAATTTGCATGACTAACAATATAATTTTTTATAAATAATTAAACAAAATACAAACAACCTTGTATCAGTCTAGATATTGGATTAATGTGATGGCCATATTCAGGATCCATTTTCTTAATAAAAAGATAATTATAACATTAAAGACCAAACCTTATCTTTAATAATTGTTTTTCGCTTTGTAAACTCCTTTACATTTCCTCCTCCCAAAATCGAATCACGTTTATGACTCTCCACAGTTCCTACATGACGTATAATCTGACTAGCCAGAAAAATTGGGTCTTTGTCGAGAAGAGGTTGAACTTTCTCAAGTAAATGATAACAAGCTGCCTGTTTGGCTGCTTTCTTACTTGGACCTTTACCTTCTGATGAATATTCTTTACATATAGTAGAATCTGCTGACGTATTGGTTATTGTAGAAGGTGAAATAAGACGACAACAAAGAGTATAAACACGATTATGCGGCTCACCCGTTTCAGCGAGTACTTCAAATTCAACATTCTATAAAAATAAAGCAGAATTTTACTTTAAAGTAAATTTTTGCTTGTTTAAGCAATCAAGATGATATGTGTTTTAAATATTGTCAAATTTACCATTATCAAAGAGAAAACTTACCATTCGAAGACGAAGTGCACACTCATGAATTTGCGAAACTACTGATTTTATCTTCCGCCGCGAACGAAAAGGGCGTTGTTCTGACATTTGTGCACTCTGATGTAATTTATTTTCATCAGCCTTCAACTTATTTAATTGTTCATTATCTGGCATTTTATCATCTGTTTGATGTTCTTCATCGTCTTTATAATTAAAAAAGAATTTGTGTCAAAAATAAAATCTAAAAACTCACAATATCCATTTAATAAAACATTCAATGCTGGAGAGAAATTTGAATCAGTACTCTCACTTTCATCTTCTGCACTGCCAGAGGTTAATGCACGGCCGTTATCAATAGGACTTGATTTAGACAACCCTTCTTTAACATAAGAATTCTCTTCAGAAATTCGGAAATTAGCTTGTTGCGAATTGAATTTATTTGGGGTTCCATCATTTAGTAAAATTTCATCCAAACTGTTGTCAATTTCCTTACTTTTTTTGTAGCAATCCAACACCGGTCTGTAATTTCAATAATCAAATTAAAGTATTAATCGAGATAAAAACCTCAAATGAGACAAAGCCTGAACAGCTGCCTTTTGTTTTGCAATATCCAATTTAAATCCAACTCCAAAATGTTGTGAAGAATCTAGACTTAGAGTCACTGTTACTTTGTAAGTAAATCCTTGTTGCTGTTGTTGATAATGAATTGAATTGAGAGATGTAGGACAAAACGGTAATACTGCTGTTCGATCAAATCCGCTTAGCAAAACCTAGAAAGTAATTAATTTGAGATTAAAAATATTTTTAAAATAACCGATGGAGGAAGTGAAAGGAAAGATGATGAAAGCAATGGAATAGATTGGTAATCAAATGATGGTAAAGAATTAATTGAAGCAATTTGCATTTTTTTAAACAAAACATCAGCTCCGACTGGAGAAGCATTGACTAAAGGCATAACTGAAAGAAGTTAATATATAAAATAAAATTGATAAATAACTTGGCAAATCCAAAATAGAATTCACTGTTTTTGGTACAATTTGTTGTTGAGAAGTTGTGCCATTTGCTACGGGACTTGAAAAATTCGAACCACTAAACAAATTTGGTGCTGGAGCAAAATATAAATTACGAGCAAATTGAGAATTAGCTACGTTAAGACTATTTGGCTGCATTGCTCTTAAGATAAAAGTTATTCAAGATTTAGTGAAGTTAAAATTCTGTTATATTTCTTATTTAACATATTCGGTTGTAACATAATTAGTTGCCGTTTTTTTCAAGAAGGCATAAGGGCATAAATGTTACAACCGAATATTTCCAAGGATTAAAAATTATATTTTTCATGTATTTTCATGTTTTCATGTATTTTTCATGTATTAACGAGGAGCTATACCAAAAATGTAAAAAAGGTAAAAACAAACGAAATTGGTGCTGATTTATTGCTATTAGAAGTACTACAAAATGGAGGGATCCATGGAAGACTAGCATGATTTGGCAGGGACGCTTTAAACGAAGACAACGGATGATGGATTAATTCTTCTTTATAATTTACAATAATTCCAAGTTGGGCAGCTACAGAATTAAGTAACAAAATTGCATTAAAAGACTCGTCTAAAAAATTTATAAAAAAATTAAAAATAACATTGAAAATATTTGAACCTTTACGTGTTTGACGTCTTGGTACTCCCATTCCTCTCATTGGTGGAGGTCGTGGCAAAGTGGAAGAATCCAACGCACATTGAGCTGCGGCTTGTTGAGCTTTTTTAATAGAAGGTCCGCTACCTTCAAACTCTTGACCCGGACAAAGAATAAGCTTTACAGTGAATTTTTTCTTGTGTGCTGGCCCACTTTCATCAAGAAGAACATATCCATGACGAAGCTTGAAAATTGTACAAATAAATAATATGAATGAAATATAAAACCTTGTTATATCTCGCTAACTCAGCCACACGACACATAGGCGTTTTCTCAGAAGAACCTTTGCGTTGAGCATAATTGTAGACGTGTTTGCTAACTGTTGGCTCAGTTTGTCCTTTTCCACACCAAATTTGTGGATGATGCTTTCTATGGTTTTTATCTAAATCTAGTTGTTCACGAGAGGGAGGAGGAGAACTACGACAAATAAATTTTTCGGCTAAAGCTTGAGAAGAATTATGAGGCTGTTGATTTGAATTTCGATTAGATGTAGGCACAAACTAAAAAATAAACGGTAAAAGTTAAGTCTGTGTTTCTCATTTTTTCTTCTCCCTAGAAAAATGAGGAAGAAGTGTTCAACAATTTTGAGATTTGCAAGTAGTTAATTAAGTGTGCTGATTGTGAGTCCAAATATGAGTTGAAATTTTATTTAGCTCGCAGCACAGACATGAATTCGAGCTGTCAGTTTAGCAATAAAATATTAATTTCAATTTCTAAATTAAATTAAAACTTGCTCGAATTCATGTCCGGGATTTGAAATAAATAAAATTTGAACTCAGCACACATAATTACTTCGGCTGTAGTGTAGTGTACCGGTGGTAAAAGTTCGAGACGTAACATATGTCATTCGATTCATCTCGACGAGCTGAGTCGAACGGTACCACTCCCTATTTTAGGAAATAATTCTGGACCGAGTTATAGGTCCCAGAAAATTGAAAAACCAAAGGGGGGAGTAAGGTCGATTTTGGGGTAAAAAATTCGAATATGCAAATAATAGCTCATTCGAAAGAGCTCCTCGAGCTGAGTCGAATGACACCAAAATCAACAAAATCCGACTTGATTTGACAAAGTTATGATCGCTTGTTTTAGCTCCTTACCTATGGTCTCCATGGAGGGTTTTGCTGCTACGGAGGCTCCAGGTATGCCCAGAGCAAGGGAGATAGGAATAGGTTTATGTTACGAGCCCAGACCCACCGCCCGTAGACTCCCCGCGAGGCGCGTGCCGCAAACCCCCGCGCGAAGCGCGGGGGTTTGCACAAGCGCCTCGCCGACTCTCCATAGGTTTATGTTGCTTGTTTTTTGTGTCGTAACTTTGTCTAATCTTGTTCGATCCCGGTGATTATGGTGTCATTCGACTCAACTCGTCGAGCTCTTTCGAATGAGTTATTATTTGTATAAAAAAATTTTATTCCAAAAATCGCCCCTTTGGATCTTCGATATTTAGGGGCCTATATCTCGGTCCAATCAAGTCGGATTTTGTTGATTTTGGTGTCATTCGACTCAGCTCGAGGAGCTCTTTCGAATGAGCTATTATTTGCATATTCGAATTTTTCACCCCAAAATCTAGCTTACTCCCCCCTATGGTTTTTCAATTTTCCGGGACCTATAACTCGGTCCAGAATTATTTCCTAAAATAGGGAGTGGTGCCTTTCGACTCAGCTCGTCGAGACGAATCGACTGACATATGTCACGTCCCGAACTTTTACCACCGGTACACTACACTATATCCATTACTTCCTTGTAAATCTTAGAAATGTTGAAAGCTCTTCTTCGTCATTTTTTCTAGGGAAATGAAAAAGATGAGAAAAAGGTAAATACAAACTTAATAAACTAAAGTAATTAAAATTTAAGTTACACTTTGGGTGACACTTATTATTATATGTGACACTTATTATTCGAGGTCTAATTTAGAAACAAAACAAACCAAATTTTTCTGAATACTATTATTGTGTTGAAGACGAGGTGCTGCATTTTCTAATAAAGGCGGTTGTTGTTGCTGCTTTCGTTGAAGGCTTATTTGTTGTTTTGGAATGACAAATTGTTGTTGTTGTTGCAAAGTAGGAGGAACTACCGAGTTTAAACAAAAAGATTGCGGCGGTTTTTGATGTTGAAAATAGTATTGTTGTTGCTGTTGATTGGGCAAAGGAAGAGATCTGATAGAAGTATTAGATACTGGAGTTGTATGCATTCTTAAGGCGAGAATTGCTACTTTATTTGATGACAAGTTATTAATAAAAAATTATGTAAATAGTTAAAGACTTAGGTAAGTTGTTAAAAAATAATTAAATACTCAAATTTGGGACGTGTTTTGAACCCGCAAAAAATTAACACAGCTCCTCAGCCGCACTAATGCGACGGTAATGAAGTTGGAAACAATATCTAATCTAAAAGAAAATGGCAAAAGTTTAGTTTGTATTTCCCGTTTTATTTCTAACAAAATTTATTGTTATCTTCCCTTGACACAAAAAGGAATCATTTCTATCCTTAGTCTGACCATTATGAACCTTTTGAGGGAAAACATAAATGTGAATTTCGGCAAAAATATAAAATGGAAACTACAAACTAAACTTTTACTGATAAAATTTTAGAAAAAATTGCAAATAGCCAATAAAAATAAAATAATGCATGAACAACAATTGCATACCAATCAGAGGTGGGTCGGAATTCCGATTTCCGACTTCCGATTTCCGACGTTTTTTTCCTTCCGATTTCCGATTTCCGAAATTTTGGAAAAATTTCCGATTTCCGAGAATTTTTGAAGCATATTTCCGACTAGAGATTTTTCCAAAATTCTCAAAATTTTCGCCTGCGGCGCAAATATTCGAAGAAATCTAACTTAAGGACCTCCAAAATTCTCAAAATTTTCGCCTGCGGCGCAAAAAATGGAAGATTTTTGACTTGAGGCTCCCAAAAATTTTGCCTGCGGCGCCGTAAATGGAAGTTGAATAGTATATCGGAGGATTAGGTTAGATTAATGTGGACTTTGAGTTATATCGTGTGATTACGAGGGGTCATAGGCTCTATCAGTCCTCAATTTTAAACTCCAAATATCCCTATTAATTCTATAAATTCTCTGATATCCCGTCTAATCTACCAAATCCCACAATATCTCTTTTAATCTCTTCGAATTTGACTTTTGAGTTGCAAAAAGAACTTTACACACTCAAATTACACTTAAGAAGGCCCATAATTTACCACCTTACAATTTTAAATAAATTTCAGTTATGAAAATAAAAATTTTATTTCCGATTTCCGAAAAAAAATTTTGATTTCCGATTTCCGAGTTCCGACTTTTGAGCCATTTCCGATTTCCGACAGTTCCGATTTCCGACACCTCGGGCTGTTCCGACCCACCTCTGATACCAATCCAACAATAATTTGTCACGAAATTGAGCGTCGATACTCAAAGTAATGGATACTCAATTGGGCGAATCTCTGGCATAATATTAATTTTAATTGAATGCCAAAAGTGTATATTCAAAAATATTTCGGTCGGCTTATCTGTTCGGTTTCGGTTAATTGAAGAATTTTGTGAAACCGGCAATCCTATCAATCCTATTCAGCCAGTAAAAATATTCTCTAAAAATTTTTTGAAAAAATTATCTTAAAATTTTAAAGTTGCTTTTAAAACAAGAGAACTTCAAATAGAGCAGATTTGACATATTTTACAAATGTATGCTAATGTAAGAATTTCTTGTCAGCCTTTTTAATAATTTGTTTTTAGAACATGTCAAATTGGCCACAATCAACTTCTTCAGAGTTTTCCTCCTTAAATTCTTCAATTTCAAGGCCATATAGAGATTATACTTCAAATTATACTTCAAATTATTCCACAAGTCTGCAGCAAAATCATTACAATAATAATTTACAGTCAGCTTTTCCTAGCCACAGGGATTCTTCTTTGTCCTTTAATTATGAGGAAATCATGTAATTATTTAATTTCTAAATATATTTGAAATTATTAAGTGGTAACCAAGGACGTTCTTTTGGTCCTTCTCTTCTGGAGAGGAGAATAGAAGATCCATCTTCGTATTATGCCAGTCAACCTAGACCGAATGAAAATTTTGCTTCAGGTTATTTGCACTATTTTTAAAAACTTGACGTCTTTATTTGCACACATTACTGATAATTCTGATTTAGTTCGGTCATTTACTACTCCAGGAATTCCAGCTGCAATTGATACGTATTATCCAAGAAATATAAACGTAATTTTATTTTTTTAATTTTACGAATTAATTTTTATAGTCGAATCAAAATGTTCGAACAGAAAGTTATGAAGAACCAGACCCGATTGCTTCATTATTACAACAAAGACATCACAAAGTCCAAGGAATTCCTTCACTGAAATCTTTGTTTGTGCCTGAATCGTCAAAAAATTCAACAATAAATAGAAATTCAAGCTATTCATCAGGAGAAGGTTTTAGTCTCACTCCTCAAATGCATTTGATTAGCACTAGTTCTGAACGAGATCAGAGGAAAGGTTCCAGACTTAAACGAGTTTGTTTTTTATACTAAATTTTATTTTATATATTTTTAGTTGTTAGGGATTCCTATGACAAAAGAATTGTGGTTAGAAACTGCAACTGGACGTTTATCCTTTGATGGGGGACAAATTGTTAATAGACTTGAAGAAAATCGTACATATTATTACAATATTTCAACTCTCCGTGTTTCATTTGAAATGCCATCTCCACTTACTGCTATCATTCGACAACAAACTGAAATTCGAAAAATGCTAGATATGGCAAGTTTTTTTGATTCTTTAACAAATAAATGTTTTCTTTAGACAACTCCTTGTACAATAATTGTTACTCGTTGCTATAATCAATTGACCGAAGAAGTATTACGCAATTATTTTGAACAATATGGAGAGGTTGCTTTTGCAAGAGTTTTCTCAATTAAAGCTGTTTGTTTAATTTTTGTTTTTTAAATATTTGTTATTTTGTGGGGTGGAACAATAAATCCAAAATCAAATATAAAACGTAAACGAAAATTGGCTTATTTACGAATGGAATCTATTCAGGTATTTTTAAACACTTTTTTTATTAATATTTATATATTTAGGTCCAGAAAAAGATTTTGGAGCAAATGTCTTTTTCGATTGATGGACATATTGTAATTAAATAAAAATAATTTATAGAGATCTCCAAACACGTTTTGATATTTTTTCGGAATTATTTTGAGGGCGATCCATGAGACATTTTTCATTTGTATATAAAGGAGAGAAATTAATTACAAGAAAAATTATTTTAAAAAATGTCATCTTCGCTAAAATGAACTTGGGGAGATTCTGAAGATTAACTAAAAATTACTTTTTTCAGATTGAACTTCGAGTTCCATGTAATCGTATTTTTATTTCCCGGGTTCCTGACGAGACACGCCCAAGTGAATTAGTACAATTTGTTGAAACCGAAATCAAAAAATTTGAACCGAGAGGATATTGTGTTGATGGTAAATAAATTAAAAGGAAATATTTTTTAATGCTTTTAACTTTCTAAAATGTCTTCTAATAATTTGCTTTTAATGTAAATTGTTTAATTTTTTCCAGCTTATTTTCCACATCCATTTTGTCAATTTGCCTTTTGCACAGTTGGTGGCGCTAAAGTTTCTGCTAGGCTTGCTATGTTAGTTTATTTTTGAAAAAATTTGTTTAAATTTTTTTTATTTTAGTAAAGCAGACTTCTTTTTCAAAGGTTCTTCAGTAGGAATCAGTACTTGTTGTGATGGTTCTGAATGTAATAATTTTTTAAATAAAAAAATATTTTGAATATTTTAGTGGATGCTGATCGTTTATTGGAGCAAAAAATTAAAGATTTGGTTGACCAAAATGATTATGCACGTATTCGTTCTCTTCAAAGTATTTCTACCGAAGTTAAATCAATGATTCAAATTTTGGCAAAAATGAGAAAATGTAAGAAGAATTTTTTAATTTTTAAAATATTTTTTAAGTTTCAAATGAAATGTCTTTGCTTATGGTAATTAATTCAGAATTTTTAAAATCTTCAGAAGAAAAATTGAGGAATTATTTATATGTTCAGGTTTTTTGTTAATTTTTTTTTAATTTTAATTTTTTAAGGACAATGTTTTTGAAATGTGCAAAAAAGTGGCATTGGAAACAAATAAAGAAAATGGTAATTAATTTGTGTAATTAATTTTATAAATTGTTTTTAGATCAGTCAACAAATAGGAAAAGAATTCGCCTTGATAATGATCGGGAGAAAGAAAGAACAGAAGAATTAAGCGATTTAAGTATTGTTGAGGAGGATGTAGGTAGGAAAATAAATGTTTTTTTATTCAAATAGGGGAGAGGCGGAATTTTAAAAGTACCAAAAAAGATTTAAAAAGATTTTGAACTTTTTCTTGAAATAAAATCAATCCGAAAATTAAACAGGAAAAAAATTAAAAAATTAAATTCTGTTTTTTAGAATTGGATAATGAAGAGCGCGATGAGGATAGTTTAAATTTGCAAAACAATTTAATGTAAATTTTATATCACATTCTCTAAATATTTTCGCAAATTTTTTTTAATTTTTAAATAAAAACAAATAAATTTTTTAAAAATTAGACTAATCCTTTGTTTTTTAATAACTAGTCCGATTCCTATAAGTTCTGTAAATTTTGGAATAAAACTACCAAAAACATCAAGTAAAGACAAACAACAAGATTTATATAACTACAATATGAACACAACAACAACAATATTATCACATTATATTTATTTTATATATATTTATCACTACTTTTGTGTTCATCATCTTCCCTGTTTACAATTCCTACTATCCTTGCATTAGAGTTGTGTTTCATTCCTATGCGCCCAAACTGCGAACCGAACGAGTTGATTTGATATTTACAGATTGGCTCCTCACAGATACATTTCCCGATCCCAAGCTAGTTCCGCTTTTGGTTGCAGTAACATTTGGAATTGGAGCACGGCTCGGAGGCGGAGGTGGTGGATTCGATTTACTCATACAACAACAAATGCGAACAACATGCCAGAACAGAATTCTGAAAAAAGGAAATTTTTTTAATTAAAATATATTTTCTTACATTAGAAGAGCAACTACAGCTCCACCCAACGAACTATCGAAGAGACTACCATCATCAGCACAAGTTTCCTAAAAAAATATTTTGGCATTAAATCATTGCAAAAATAAATTTTACCAATGGATCTGTCGCCGTTGTTGTACGACCGTTGTCGATCTTCGGAGTCGCTGTCATTGAGAAATTCGACAGTTCACCCGTTCCGTTAGAAAGAGCAAAATGATTCATGAGATATGCCAGACCCGGATGGAGTTTAGCCGCAGCAAGGAATGCATGACCATCAACATCTGCCAAAACCAAGTCGGATGACAATGGGAGCAAAATGAAGAATGCAGACAGCTTTAGAGGCGTGATGGAGAAAAGCATTTTTGTTTGTTTGTTGTACGCAAGAAAAAGAAGATGTAAGAGTGTACTTGAATTACTTTTATAGTAAGTATTACATAAAAACAATTTTATTTTTTAAAAATACTTGAAAAATTTTGAATTAACTAATTAATAAAGTATGAGACGTCCAAGACTCTGGGTATTGAAAATGAAGTTAGGTATATTATAAATAGTTAACACAACCTAGTTGTAGGAAAATCAAAAATTTGCTTATGGATTTGTCAAGGGTCCTGGAAATTTTCGGTCTTGGATGTCTCTAGTATGCACATATATTTTAAAAATAAAAAAAGTTTTATAATTGTATATCACTTGTTGAACTAAATAATTCTTCGCCACTTTTAAGAAAATTTTCTTCATTTTTATTTTGTTGAGAAGGTAAAAGACAAGAAGAAGCCCTTCTTGATTGTAAATTATTTTCTTTTTTATTATTAGAAGAGTAAATATAAATTGCTGAAGGTGTTGGAACTAAAAGTTTATTTAAACTTTTTTCTGCAGCAATTCCTAAATTTGCTGCTACTAATTTTTCTTTAGAAAGCCATTTTCGAATTTTTATTGGTATAAGATTGACAAAAGCATTTCTAAGTTGCATATTCAATAAAGCATATAATATTGGATTCCAAACCTTTTTTTAAATAAAAATTAGAAAAGTAAGAAAAAATATCTATTAAATATCCCTTTTGACTTTAATTTTATTAGTTAGTGAAGGATAAACAAGGAAAAAATTAATTTAAAAAATTACCGTAGAAGTCATTGCAATAGCATGTGTAATTACTCCATAAAGAAATTCTTGTTCAGCTATAAACTCTGGAAGAAGTCCAAAATCTCTAAGAATATTAAAAACAACAGTCCAAACCCAACTAAAATTAATTTTATTTTTAATTTTAAAATTAAAAATTACCTTAAAATAAAAGCAAAAAACATTAAAATAAACATTCTATTAGTTCTTTGTCTTCTTTGATTAGCTATTTTTTGATGATAAATACCCATCTTTTTACGACGTAATAAAATACTCTTTTAAAAAATATTTTTAATTAAATTTTAATTTAAAAATTTACTTTATTTAATCTAACAGAAATTCCTGTATAACAAAAAGTAATTATACTTAAAGGTATTACAAATTGAACAATTAACAAAACTGTCCCATAAACTTCTCGTAAACGTTCATATGGGGACCAATGTTCAAAACAAAATTCTCCACAATAACCCTCCATTTTAACAAGTTTTTGAGTAAAAAGCATTGGCAAACTTAGAATCATTGACAATAAACTTATTAACTTTAAAAGGGATTTTTCTGTAATTTTTAATTATTTTCTAACCAAAATTGTAAAAAAAGCATGTTTATGTCTCAATTGATTATTTAAAGGAAATCGAATAAGTAAAAATCTGTCAACAGAAATTGCAGCTAAAGTAAATGCAGAAAAACAAAGAGAAGTTCCCTTTAAAAAATTTAAATTTTTAAAATTTTTATAATTTCCAAACTAACAGCAATAAAAGGAACTAAAGAACACAAAATAGGCCCAAAAACCCAAACTTTATAAAAAGCAGTAAATGGAGTAAATGTTGCTGATACAAAACAAACAACTATATCCGAACAAGATAAAGCAAAAATAAATAAATTGGAGACTGTTTGAAGGGATTTTGTTCTGCTAATTGCTAATAAAACACAAACATTTCCTTTAAAAATTAAAAAAAAATTTTTTTAAAGAATTTGTAAAGTAAATTAAAAATTGGGGAAAACAAAAATTCAAATAATAAATAATTTGAAATTAAATATAAATTATTTGGCCGAACTCTAATAAATTTACAATTTTAAATAATTTATTTACCTAAAATTCCAATTAAAATAATTAAAATATAAAAACTAGCAAAAAGAGCAGCAACAGGTAAACGAGCCGTTGGATCTCTTCTTAAAGTCCACAAAATTAAATTCATATCAAAACAAGGAGAAATAAATTGTGTCGGGGAAGAGGAATAATTTAAATAATTATTATTTTGGTAAAAATTATTATTTTCTTGTTGCATTTGTTGAATTAAGTAAATAAATTAATTAAATTTTCTAAAAAAATTTTTAGAAAATATATTTAAATATGAAAATAAAATAATACAAAAAATTAATTTAGTAATTTTGTATTTCTTTTTTTATTATTTAAATTATTTCCGTTACAAAGAATTAATTTTATTGGATATTTATATTTATAACATAATAATATAATCTTTGAAAAGATATTAAAAATAGATTTAAAAAAAATTAAAAAAATAATTATTTTATTTTAATTAAAAAAGAATATTTTAAAAAAATAAAATTTTGGACATTTTAAACAAAAAAAAATAAATTTAAATAAAAATAACAAAAAAAACAATCTTTTAAAAAACCAAAAAACAAAAAAGTTATTTGACGTAAATAATTAAAATAATTTTTTTTCAAAAAAAGGTAATAAGTAATTTAAATATTTAAATAGAAATTAATTATCTAAAAGAAGAAAAGAAGAATATTTTTTGTTGTCTATAATCATTGAAAGAAAATAAAAATAAATTATTTAAATGTCATTTAAACAAGAATATATATTTAAATAATTTACTTGAATTAATTTTTTGAAATAAAAAGATTAAATAAATATATATTCAAAAATCTCTATTTTTTTATTTTAGCTATTAAATCTTTAAAAATTAATTAAAAATTTTTGAATTAAAAGGTTAAATGTGAATTTTTATTTAAAAAATCAATATTTTTTAAAATATTTTTAAAAATTAATTAAATTCTTTTTTTTAAATAAATTGTTTTGACAGCTTCCAAAAAAGGGGTAGAGCTTCTAAAGCTAAAAAGAAAATTATATTTTTCCATTTAGTGATTTTACGTCAATTTTTATTTATTAATTTAACACTTAAATGATTTTTAAAAATATTTTTTTTAATATTTTTTATTTAAATATAAACATTAGGTAACTAAATAATTTTATAAAAAAATTTAGAAGAAAATATTTTTTTTTAAAATTAAGTAAAAATTATTTTTAAAATTTTTTAATTTAAATAATTTATTTTTTGTTAATTTTTTTATTTCTAAGTAAATAAATATGTATATTTAAAGTATGGGGAAATGTAAATTAAGTATTTATTTGTTAATAATTAAATATTTAATAAAAAAAGGATTCTTTACAAGAAAAAAAGATTTTTTTCTATTAAAGGCTTTTTTGTTTTACAAATATAGAAATAAATAAAAGTTTTGTTTAAAATAAATAAATTTTTGTATTTATTTTTATTGTGTATTTAATGATGTCAATTAATTATTTATTTATTTTTTTGTTAAAAAATAAATTTGGAATTAAATTTAAATAAAAATAAATAATAATTATTTTTACTATTTTTTATTCAATATTTTTGGGGAATTTTCATTAAAATAAATGAGAGAAAATATTTAAAGGAAAACAAACATTAATTTTTGTTTTTCCAAAATTACTTTGAAAAGTAAACAAAAAAATATAATACAGACAATGAATATATATTTATTTATATAAATTAAATTCTCGAGGGAAAAAGTCCAAAACAGAAAATATTTTAAATGAAAAAAGGAAACAATTTTCTTAATGAAGTGATGACGAGAGAGAGATAATTATATTTACTCTTAAATATGTGCTTTTTAATATAGAAATTAAATGAATAAATTAAAAATGAATATTTATTTTTAGATTATTTATTTTCAATTATTAATTATTTTAAAATAATTATTGCGTGTCGAAGAAATATTTTTGAAAAGTGCTAAATATGTATTATTGAAAAAAATAAAAATAATTGTATTGTGGGACGAATTCAAGGTGGACCGTGCAGGGATTTTAGAAAAAGAATGTTTTTTAAATAGGTATTAGAGAGGTTTAATTGTTTTTATTTTCATTATTGTTTTTAGGTAAAATTTTGTTTAAAAAGTTTTTTCTATCTCCCCATTAACCGTTTTTTTCATTTAATATTTATATATTAATTAGGTATTTTATAAATATATCAGAAAATTGTCTTTTTCTCAAGAGAATTTAATTAAATTAATTGACAAATATTAAAAATAAAATATATTTTTTTGAATAAGGAAAGAATTTAGATTAATTTTGTTTAAAAAAATTTAAAACTAAATGGGATTTAAATTTAATATTAAAAAATATTTTCATAAAGAAATTTGGATAGGTATTCCCTATTAAAGATAAATATATTTATTTAAGCTGTATCACATCAGAAATATTCTAAACATTTGTATAACTTGTTAAACTTAGATAATTAAAAATAAAATAATTTAAATTAATTTTTTAATAATAAAAACAGGTGTTATTTAAAATAATTTTAAAAAGTGTTAGAAAATAAATTTATATGTATAGGCAAGCAGTCCTAAGAGAAAATAAAGGTGTCCTTCCTTGTTAAATGTTGGGGATTTAAAACAGGTGAAATAAATTATAAAATAGGTATAATGAATATTTGTATTTAAAGACAGAGTCGCCTAAATTTCAACCTTTAAAAGTGTAGTGAGATAGCAAGGTTTCATTGAATAGATTTAAAAATTAAACATTTTCTGTTAATTAAAAAATTGCTTAAAAGGAACAAAACAAACAAAAATCTAAATTCCTAAACCAACGGAAATTATTGATAGAATATCAAAAGTGGAATTTAAAAATTCACTAAATAATTTAAATTTTCGGCTCTTGTAAAAAAAGGGAGAGGGGAGGCACATGGACACGGATTTTGCTATCCATGTCCGAATATATCCGTGCAACTTTTGAACATATCCATCCGTGGGATGGATATGCTCATATCCATCCGATCTAACAAAAATGTTCGAAATGCTCAAATTTTTAAAATTGTGGTATAAAATGACTTTATCAAATAAAAATCAACAAAATGTTTCATTTATTAAGAGAATCGGCTAAAAGAAGTTCCGATATAACTATTAACATCAGTCAGGAAATAAAATGAAATAAATTAAAATGAGCGCAGCAATTGATTTTAATTTGAGAAAAAGGAATTTGAACATTGTTCTAAAGGTCTATAAATGAGATGATCTTGTTTATTATTAAGAAAATATTTATTTACATAAGATGGGATTTTAAATTAGAATAATTATTATTTCTATAATTTTTATTAAAAACATCTTAGTTCCAAAGAAATTAAAAATGCTAGAAACGTTGTGAAAAATGTTTTAACAGTTTTTGTAATTATCTGTTTAATTTATTCAAAAGTTAACCTCATGACAAAAAGCAAACTACGGAATTAAAGATATTTCCATGATTTATTTTCATTGAAGTTGAAATAATAATCTTAAGCTTACTAATGGAAAAATTCATGAGATATTCAAAACAATTACTAAATCTCCAGATAAAATTAGTTTTTATGAATCTCTAGTAGACTGAAGAACAGTTATGTGAGGCATCCCTAATACTATTATTAAAGAAATGAACACAAAAAATACTAACAACAGTTCTTTATCACAAGCAAATATGTACAATACAGCAAAATACATCAAAGGATTACAAAAATAATGTGAACAGAAACATATCTACAATATATTTAGGCACAATTATATCTATACATACAAATATATAGGGATGACAAACTAATGTGGATGAGTTTAATCACTAAAGCTGTGATAGTTAGGCAAGTAAAATCAGTGAAATAGGCGCCTAAAATAGGCACCAAAAAGCCAAAAAAGGCACAAAAATAGGCATGTAAAAAAGGTTATTAGGCCCATAAAAATAAAACAAAAATAAGAAAATACCCATTTATTCGTTATTTTTTGAATTATAAACTAATTATTAAACTCTTTTGCCATTTATTCGTCATTTTTAGTCATCTTTTGTAAAAAACTGTTTAAAAATCTCGATAATTGACAAAAGGGACATATTGCCCAACCCTCAAAACGTCGCACCCCAAAATGTCCCAACACCAAAACGTCTAATCTCAGAATGTCAACAGAGTAAAAATACTCAATTTGTCGAACTAAAAATTAAAAATGGGAATTGGCACTGATTTTTTTTCAATTGGGACTAATTTTTTAGATTTTTCACTTATTTTTAGGCAAAATTTACGAAAAATCGCTAAAAAAGGCAAAAATAGTACCAAAAATTTCAAAATAGGCAAAAAGGCTCAAAAAGTCTAAAATAGGCAAAAATAGGCAAAATAAAAGTCATGCTAAACTCTTCGGACCAAGCTAAAAACACGTTTTTTGAACGTATTACATCATGCCAAGCTCGCAGAAAAAAAAGGCATTTGCCTATAAATCACAGCCTTATTAATCACAATACATATATTCGAATATCACAAGGAGCCTCCTCATCTCGTCATCCTTTCCGGTGTCCCTTCTTTTTTTCCTTGCCGCTCTTGTCTTTCGCGCTCCTTTCCTTTGCTGTCGATCCTTCCCTTTTAGATGGTCGCGATGGTTTGCTATTGCCTTTGGTGTCATCTACGCGGCTACGCTGGCTGTCAGTGATCCTCTTCATATTGTCGTCGAACCATTGAAGGGCTACCTGCATCGCACACCTGTCGTCAGCATCGCCATTCCAGACATGTCCCGTTATGAATTCAGCGAATTCCCTCGGCGCTTCGTCTGGGAATTTCATCCGGTCACCCATTATCACCTAAATGTTTAAAAAAATTTAATAGATTCCAACCCCCTAAAACACACCCTTCTTGCAACGTCGTTATTGGAGCCGAAGTTTTGGTAGGGATTACCGCCGTTCGCAAAGATCTCCCAGCAGAGGATTCCGAAGGCCCAAACGTCCGACTTCTTGGTGCAGACCCGATCCCTCATCGTCTCCGGTGCCAACCACTTGATCGGGAGCTTTTGATCCTTGTCGAGCTTGATTTCCGTGTCACCAGGCAGCAGCTCACGAGCGAGCCCAAAGTCAGCAATTTTGACCTTAAAAATTAGAACAAAAATTAGCAATTAAAAAATTTTTGAATTGTGCTACCTTTTGTTCGCTGTAAAGGCAATTCCTTGCCGCGATGTCGCAGTGGACGACATTGTTCTCGTGAACATGGCTGAGACCAGAAGCGGCTCCAAGACACATGTACAGCTTGCTCCTTGGGCTCCTCTGGATCTCCTGCAGATAGTCCTTCAGTGCACCATTTGTCGCGAGCTCCATTACAATCATCAGCGGCTCCTGACCAACGGCTACACCTTAAGGTTTGAAAATATTTTTAAAAAAGACATGAGACTTCATCCCGAAACTTACCATAAGACTGGATGACGTTTGGATGCTTGAACTTGCGCATTATACGGGCCTCGTTCATGAACTCCTTTATCTGCTCCTTTGTACACTTGGTCAGTGTCGCCTCTTTGATGGCTACTTTCGCCTTCTCAGTTTTGCTGATCCTGAGCTCTCCGCGTCTTACGATGCCAAATGCGCCTGCTCCCAGCCTTGCTCCACTGATAATGTCTGCATGCGCAAGCTCCCATTCCTTTCTCGACATGGGTTTGGTGATGATGACATTACTCCCCTGAAATTAAATTTCGGTAAAATTTTAGTCAGGATGCGCTGTACCGAGCAGACAGGTTGACGGCTTTGCATGTGGCTGTCGACAAAATCCCTCAATGTTTTGTAGCCCTTGTCTGATTTGAAATCGATGGAGAAGCGTCCTTTCTCCTCACGGAAGATATAGTGCTTGACGTTGCCGTAGACGACCGATAGGACGAACGTTCTTGCATCGCCTGCATTCTCTTCACTCTTTCGGAGCAGGAATTCGCCATTCGCCTTGAGCATTGCAACAGTGTCCTCACGCGGAAGCTAAAAAATTAAGCGAACATGAAGCCTATTAAGAAAAAACGAAAATTAAGATTACCAATCCATGGTAGTATGGTAGCGCCCACAGGTCTCGTTCAGACTCCATTGGTAGAGAAGCGGTAGAAGTGTTTACAGAGCAGCGAAGCGGTAGAAGAGCGTTTACAGAGCAGCGAAGCGGTAGAAGAGCGTTTACAGAGCAGCGAAGCCGTAGAAGAGCGTTTACAGAGCAGCGAAGCAGTTGAAGCAAAAGCCTGTGAGTCGTTGTGTTGTGTTATCTCAAGTTCTGCTGACTTCTTTTATATGTATCTCTCGACCTTTTATATGTATCTCTTTATATGTATCTCTCGACCTAAAAAGTCATATAAAAGACATCTAAAATTTCTCAACATAACTCAGTCCGACTCGACAACACTAAAATTGCGCTTCGTCTGCATCACGACTACTGCTGTTTCGGGACGCCGTTGCTGTACCTCGTCAACGTTCGACTTTCCAACGATCTTCTACTCTGCGGGTTGTCTTCTCAATTTGCTCACTGCCAATGGAGTCCGACAAAAACCTTTGGGAGCTCCCATATTACCATGGATTGGTGAGTCCATTTTTGTTTTAAGTAACTAATGTTGATCCGTTTTTCCTTATTTTATTTTTAGCTACCGCGGGAGGACACTGTTGCAATGCTGAAGGCGAATGGCGAGTTCCTGATCCGAAAGAGTGAGGAGAATGCGGGCGATGCAAGAACGTTCGTCCTGTCGGTCGTCTACGGCAACGTCAAGCACTATATCTTCCGTGAGGAGAAAGGACGCTTCTCCATCGACTTCAAATCAGACAAGGGCTACAAATCAATAAGGGATTTCGTCGACAGCCATATGCAAAGCCGCCAACCCGTTTGCCTGGTACATTAGAAATAGAACATAAGCTTAAATGACAAGATATTTTTAGGCCAGCCATGTTATCATCACCAAGGCCATTGGAAGGAAGGAATGGGAGCTGGCACATGCGGACATTGTGAACGGAGCAAAGCTGGGAGCTGGTGCATTCGGCATTGTAAGGCGCGGAGAGCTCAAGATCAGCGGCGGACAGACGGTTAAGGTAGCCATCAAAGAGGCGACACTGACCAAGTGTACAAAGGAGCAGATAAAGGAGTTCATGAACGAGGCCCGTATAATGCGCAAGTTCAAGCATCCAAACGTCATCCAGTCTTATGGTAAGTTTCGGGATGAAGTCTCATGTCTTTTTTAAAAATATTTTCAAACCTTAAGGTGTAGCCGTTGGTCAGGAGCCGCTGATGATTGTAATGGAGCTCGCGACAAATGGTGCACTGAAGGACTATCTGCAGGAGATCCAGAGGAGCCCAAGGAGCAAGCTGTACATGTGTCTTGGAGCCGCTTCTGGTCTCAGCCATGTTCACGAGAACAATGTCGTCCACTGCGACATCGCGGCAAGGAATTGCCTTTACAGCGAACAAAAGGTAGCACAATTCAAAAATTTTTTAATTGCTAATTTTTGTTCTAATTTTTAAGGTCAAAATTGCTGACTTTGGGCTCGCTCGTGAGCTGCTGCCTGGTGACACGGAAATCAAGCTCGACAAGGATCAAAAGCTCCCGATCAAGTGGTTGGCACCGGAGACGATGAGGGATCGGGTCTGCACCAAGAAGTCGGACGTTTGGGCCTTCGGAATCCTCTGCTGGGAGATCTTTGCGAACGGCGGTAATCCCTACCAAAACTTCGGCTCCAATAACGACGTTGCAAGAAGGGTGTGTTTTAGGGGGTTGGAATCTATTAAATTTTTTTAAACATTTAGGTGATAATGGGTGACCGGATGAAGTTCTCCGACGAAGCACCAGCGGAATTCTGTGACTTCATGACGAGGCAGGTTTGGGCCGGAGACGCCGACGACAGAAGTCCGATGCAGCAAGTGCTTCTATGGTTCGACAATAACATCAAGCGCATGACCGACAGTCAAAGGAGCCGCATGGACAACACGAGAGGAGGCAGCTCAAAACCAGCTCGTCCGACGTCAAAGGAGGGAACAACTGCGAAGGAAAAAAGCGGGAGGGAGAAGAATGAAAGCGGGCGAGATAAGAGTCAGAAGGGCAAGAAGGGACACCGGAAGGGATGACGGGATGAGGAAGCTCCTTGTGATATTCGAATATAGTATTGTGATTAAACTCATCCACATTTGTTTGTCATCCCTATATATTTGTATGTATAGATATAATTGTGCCTAAATATATTGTAGATATGTTTCTGTTCACATTATTTTTGTAATCCTTTGATGTATTTTGCTGTATTGTACATATTTGCTTGTGATAAAGAACTGTTGTTAGTATTTTTTGTGTTCGTTTCTTTAATATACCGTATTTCTTCTAAAATAGCACCCTCTCAAATACATAAACTCCCTCAGAGGTCGATCGAAAAATAGCCCCCCTCTCTAAAATAGCCCCCCCCCCCATAAAAATATAATTATTTTTGGAATTTTGTTTTTAAAGCATAGTATGTAGCACAGTCCCTATAGTTCAATAAGATTAGAAAGAATTAATATGAATATTGGGGGATTTGGAGTGATTAAAGTGAATATCAGAGGACAGTTGTGTCAGAGGACAGCCTTTAGAAGTGCTCTTAAAATGCAGGCAACCGAAAATTTCCCAACAGCTTGGGGCAATACTTTTGACAGCGAGTGTAATTTCCATAACCTTTTTTTAAATAAAATTTCGAAATTAAAAATTAATTTTTGTACTTTATCAAATCCATTTTGTGAAGAAACAGCAAACCAATTTAAATTTTGATACCCTCACCGACTCCGCAAACCCCGGCCGGAGTCCGGTCCGGTACCAGTCACACTACGTATAATATGTAGAGATCGGAATTTTAAAAAAACCGGGAAAAGGGACCCGAAAACCGGGAAACCGTTCCGATCTCTAATAATTAGAGCCCGGATTTTTATGCATTAAAAAATGCAAAATATGCACTATAATATGCATAAAAAATTGCCAAAATATGCACAAAAATATGCAAGTAAACCAAAATATACACACATTTATGCATGAAAAATACCATTTATAACTAAAAATTCTACATATTTTTAGTCAAAATGATTTAAAATACATTTTTTTATTAAGATTTCTCCTATTTTAAATGTATAGTTCGACAAATTGAGCATTTTTACGGTGTTGGGCATTTTGAGATGAGGCATTTTGGTGGTGGGACATTTTGGGGTGCGACGTTTTGGGTCTGAGACATTATGGGGGTGGGCCATTTTCTGGCGAAACCAATAAACACAAAATTTTTTTTACAAAATTTGTAATTTTTACAAATTTTTTCCTAAATTTTTACTAAATTTTCACTTTTTGGCAGGATTTTAGGCAATTTTCGCAATATTTTCCTCAAAAACCTCAAAATATGCAGCAAAATATGCATTATGCAACAAAGTCCGGAATATGCAAAAATATGCATTATATGCAAATAGAAACCCCCTCTAATGTTTTCAAAACTTGCGGAAACAGTGTTTTTTGTGCATAACACATCATGAAAAGTTTGCAAAAAAAAATATGCATTTGCATAAAAATCCGGGCTCTACTAATAATATGTAGAATTTACACGAAACGCCAAACCGTGTCGCGCCGAATCGCTGGCGCCCAAATTGCGCGCCCAAACGTGGTGTATTCAAGTTACGAAATTTTTTATTAAGATTTTTTCTAGTTTTTGTTTTTTTTAATTTCCTGTGTTTTTAGTCTTTTACGCTTTAGTTTCTTACAATTTTCTTACAACATATTCTTTTAGATATTTTTTATCTGTTAAAATTTGTTTTTTTAATTGCAGCGACACTTAATTTTTATTTTTATTTTGATGTGCACACAGGATCAGCAGGTTTTTATTGCATATATTTTCTATTAAACTTTTTTAACAATTAAAAAATTTGGTAAAAGGCGAAATTTAATGCTAAACATAAAGAGGGTAAACCCATTAAATAGCATTCAAGTTAATCATTTTTAAAGCGTCTCCCGATGATGAGTTTATTTTGAATTTATAAAAGTGTTATTTATATTTTAAAAAATTTTCCATATTGCCAGAAGAATAGCAGAAAATCAGCATTTATGCATCATTCGTTGGATGATATCACTAGGGCTTTATTTGCAAATCTCAGAGGGGGCGTAAATGAAGTAAGAATAATATTATGTTAAAACAGGTTGCGATAAAGTAAGAAAATTAAAATATTTTTTGTTTGAAATTAGGGCGAGGCCGTGGTTATTTTTTGACTAAAAATTGATTTCTTTTCTAAATAATTTTTTTAGGAGGATGAGCTTATGAGTGCCGCGCATACCTGTCCTTTATGTGAATCTCAGTTAGTTCCTTGGTTTCTCGGTTATTTTGAAGAATCTGGTCAGCAATATGAGCGTATTTTGTGGACGTGCCCTAAGCAAGAGACTAGAGTTTTTTTAACTTTTTATAAAAAATATATTTTTTTTTAATTTTAGCAATGCTATTTCCCAATGAATATACTTCCTTTGGAGGTTTTTTGGATTCGACGTTCGCTTGAACAAATGGCCAAAGGAATTATTCCTTTGCCGAATCTTCACCTATTGCCAAAGAAATATCACTACCTTTATCCAAAATTGCTTCCAACAGGGAAAAGAAATAACAAACAAAAACCAGAAATGAGATTAGTTTTATTTACTATAACACAGGGGGAAAATTTTAATTCTAAATAGATTTGTGTTTTTTAAAGTTTTTAAAAATTATTTTTCAATCTTAAGTATATTATTTAATTATTTTATTTTACTAAGGATATAACACCACATTCGACTTCTCATTTGCTAAGAATTTCGAATTCGATTACCAGTGAGACTTCTATTGGAACATTGTCAGTTTTTATATTTTACATGCCTATTTCTAATTAATCTTTAAATATTTAATTTTTTATAGACTCAAGGATCTTCACAAGTCGCAGCAGAAGGCAAGTACTAGTAGCGATGCTTCTTCTTTGGTAGCCCAGGCTCCAATGGATAAGTGTCGAAAACTTGTGGATTTAAATCCGAATACTTCAACAGCTCTGGTTGTTCATTTTTTACCCAAGTATCATCCTTTGCTGTTTGTTCAGAAAACGCACAAACTATTGAGCGATGAGAACTTTGGACTTGACACTCAATATGTTCAGAATAATACTGCTATACAGCATCACAGGTATATTGTAAATGTTCCATTCGCTTCAACACAAACCTCGCAATCGGAAGCCGTAAATCAACAATTAAGGTTTTTATTTATTTTTAAAAATATTCTTTTAATATCATTTGTCGGTCCATCAATTTTATTGGGGAGATAAGTGCAAAATTTAATTTATTTTTCATTTTTTAAATATAATTGTTGTGAACGAGTTTTGTTTTTAATAAATTAATAATTTTTTTAATTAAAAATTTTTAGTCACTCATTGGAGCTTAGACGATTTTGTCAACGAACTGGTGTGATAAATGAAGGTAGCAATACTTGTAATAACAACCAAAACAATGAAACTATTGAAAAAGAGGTGAAACAAAGTGAGACAAGATACCTTTCTTTAATTAAAAATCCGTCACCAGTAAAATTGCCATCTTTAATACCAACACCTTCGAGTGTATTGGTTGAGAAGAATCGAAAACTAAAGAATCAGAGACGATTGGAACGTTTGAATTCTAGGGAAAACGAACGAGCGCGGTCATTGTCGGCGAGATTTGGGATTACCCCGAAAGTAAATTTAAAATAAATTAATTTTTAATTTAAATTATTGTTTTTAGTCAAGTAAATCAAAAAGTGCCGAAAATAAACGTTTCGAACTTCATGAAGGAATTCTTCCACAATGCAGCACTTTGATTCAATCACATCACCCTGTTGATGAAGACTTTGCACTTTTTGATTCTTCTTGTCCAGTTACAACATATTCATCAATTAGCAGCAGTAGCATTGACTGTGCCGAATCTTTAGCTACTAAAAATTCAGACGAGGCTCGAAGACGAAGAGAAGTTCGGAAAGCTGCACGTGCCCAACTACCTAAATCTTTACTTGAAGAACAGCGTCGAAAAGAAGAAGAACGGTTAGTTTCTATTCAAACAGAAGATAATGTACGACGAAAAATGGAACTTTTGTTGGCGACTGCACTTTCACGAAATAAGACAAAATCGGAGACAAAAACAAAAATAACTACTTGTGAACAAAACGTGCCGAAGATTACCGCTATAGAAATGGTTAAAAAAAATTTATTTTTATTTTTTGTAGATTATAATAATTATTCTTTTTATTTTTTAGAGTAATTTTGACAATAATCACATGGAGCTCTCAGGAATTCCGCACGATTTTCATCAAGATCAAATGACTTCAACAAGTACAGTCATATCTTCTTATCGCCAGAAACCGTCATCTGAATTGACACCAATAAACTACGAAAATGAGGGACAGAATGTTGATAAATTTGACGTTTATGATAGGTGAGGGGGGAATGATATTTTTAATTTAAAATTTAATTGTTTAATTTTTAAAGGTGTGGAACAGTTATGGATATTGGTAACGATGATGAATTTGATTTTGGATTTGGATTGGAGAATGAATTCATCAATGGAGGAAGTAATATTGGAGATGGAGATACTTTGATGCATATGAATGATGATACTTCACTTTTAGAAGAATTGAGTAATAGATAAGTTGTTCCCTTTTTTTTAAATATTGTATTTAATTTATTTATGTCGCACCTTTTATTGTATACACAGGTAATATTTCAACAGATCTCTCCAAATAAAATGTTTTTTAAACAATATTTTACATTAGGGCAATATTTATTTTTGTTATTTCATTTCTAGTTTTTTTAACTTTTTGTTTATTTTGTCTTTTTAAATGCAATGAATATTTGAAAAAATTAGTTTTTATAAATATTAATTCACAAATATTTTTAATCATCTGATCTCATTTCTTTTAATCTCCATCCTTTTTCAATTCAACAATAACTAAAGATGTTGCGAGTCCTGGGCTAGCTTTCTCTAACGGAAAGGAATATGCCCCCTCATCTTCTTCGGAAAAGTTTTCGATTATTAAATTGCCTGTTGCCCAATCAAGTTTAGCTTCTCCAATTTGATTTTTCTAAATTTTATTTTTATTACAACTTTAACAGACTATCAGACAAAGTATTAATAGTAGGTATTTTCTAAAAAGACTTACACCGTCTGTTGTCCATCTTTGTTTTCCATCAGATCCACCGCATTTTCCTGCCCATAAATATTGTTCTACATCGTGTTTCTTTGTCTTTCGTTTAACCAAGAGCTTCCCTGCAACAGGAAATTCAAATTTATCTCCTTTCTTTATCAAGGCACGAGCAAGTGCTGCTTCAGAATTCTCAGGAATAAATTGCAAAAGTGAAATAAAGAATATTGGAAAGAAGATAGAAAAGGATAAAAGACTAATCTTCTCCATTAGATTTACTTTAGGTAATTTTTATAGACAGGATGAAGATACTAGAAAAAACAAGTTAATATTAGTCAATTATCGCTATAATGATGCAGATTGAGGACTATGGTCTTCATAAAATGGGTGCGAAAAAACTACGTGTCTCAGCTCCGTAATTTTTTGAATGCGCCAAGCACCAAGCAAGGACGGGAAGATGGTAAAAAGTCATTACGGGATTTTGTTATTTTTCTAAGTTATGTATTCTCTAGGTAATCACCGAAAAACGTAATTTGGAGGAAAATATTGAATAATTGCTTAAATTTGTTATTTGTAACCAAAATAATTTCCCGAGGTATAAAATTACAAAATAGGAAGGAGAACGCCTTTTTAGTTAATTAACTTAGACAAAATTAATTTATAATTTTAAAATTTCAGAAATATAGTTTGTATAGTTTTATAATTGAGAATAACTTCTCTTATCCCACCCATCATTATGTTTTTGAAAGTCTTTACTATTAAAAAGGCAAGTGTTCTTCAAATATTTATAGTAAGGACATGAAAAAACAGGTTTAGATTGTTTATTTGATAAAGCAAATTGATGTTTTTTTTAATTTTTACACTTTTTTCCAAGTGTGAAATAAGGTGATAGACCAACAAACGAAGACGTTTCTTTATAAAAATTTGAAAAGTTGTTTTCTATTATATTACAAGTGAACAGCTGCCGATTCTTTTTAATGTGAAAAGAATTCCTAATTTTTAATTTACTAGTATTTTGAACAAAATATAATAGAGGATGATTCATAGAAATAAAATTACTCAAGAAATCCGATGATAAAGATCGACGAGTACAGAAAATTCATCATGTTTTTAAATACAATAGTGATGAAGGTAGGTTTGGTTGGAAGAATAGTCACCTCAGCCTGTTCCTACTTCAATCTTCTATTGTACCTATGTGATAAATTGTTTTACATGTACTCGTCGATCTTACCAAATCTTAGAGATAACACAATATAAAAATGCAAAGTATGAGTGAATGAGACAGAAATTTAAAATTAAAACACAAAAAAAAAGAAAAATTATGCTCTAACAATCACGAGAAAAGCTGCCAATCAAAAATGATAAAAAAGGAAAGGTCGGCAAATCCTTAAATCCTATTTTTTAAAAGTAAAAACAATTATACTTATGTTAATCATCGACCTTCCACTTTTAACATAATTTATGTTAGATCAAGGTATAGGGAAAGCAGCAGATTTATGAGAAGATATGTGTATTATTACTATAACAAGAATTACTAAAACCACATATGTACCAGGCATATAATATATTTACGATAAAAATTCATAGCATCTTTAGTTTTTTACTGTAAAAATGGTAAACTAGAAAAAATTAGAGAATTTAAGTCAAAAGAAGATGCTATGATTGACTTTAGAAAATAACAGTTTCACAATAATAAAATTTCTAAAATTTATACAATCTTTTTATTTTCCGCCTTAATACAAAATAATTTAAAATTACTTTTAAAAAAAGATTATCTAAATTCAGATTATCTTAAAAAAAACAATTTAAAAGAAATAAACTAACAAAAATAAATGAGCGAAGTTGTTTTTCAATAACCATTTTAAATATTCTTTAAAAAAATAAAATCTAATAAAAAATTTAAAAAAAAAGAAAATATCCCAGACAGATCACAAAAAGATGCCATTCAAATATAGCACACGTAAAATACAAAGTTTTTTTATTGTTCAACGATTTTTCAATTCTTGATGAGTCCTTTTTGAAAGCCTACCACAACAACATCCAACCAATAAAAGAATTAAAAGGCCAACTCCAAACCTACAAAAAATACAAAATTTAATTACTTCTCCTCTATTTTTACTACTATCATTTTATTCTCTCATTAGAATCATTTTTTGAATGTTTAAGATTACTGAAAAGGGGCGTCTTCGGCGCCCCTTTTGGAACGCCAAAAAATGTATGAAAAATCTATTTGACGTGATTTAATATTTTATTTGTCTGGTATGCGGCGGTGACCATTTAGAACCGGTCAACATGTAAACTTACTTTTTAGTAGATAAAGCGATAGTAAAATTTTGTATAAATATAAATAATTAACTGACCATGTCAAAATAGAACTACGTTGTGGATGTTGTGCAATAGCATTAGCCAAATCAGACCAACTTTCAGGTAATTTCATTTGATATTCGCTATGTGCAATCTGCCAGAGTTTATTTCTTTCTGTAAGCTTCTCGCGGCAAACAGACGAGAGGGCTGATTGAGGGTTCCTAAGTGCATCAACAAGACACATAATGACTAAAAAAATATTTCAATTAAAAGAAACAAAAATTTTATAATTTTCTTACTTCGACTTTCACCAGGCTGAACATTTGCACATAAGCGTTGGGCATCAAGACTACATGCTTCATGTAATCCTGGATCCAAATGAATATCAACAAGAGATTCTTGAGTACGACGTGCAAGCTAAAAAAATAAAAAGAATTCTTTAAAGTAAAAATTATTTAAAATTTACCTGCACAGCACAATTCTTGTCTGTAATCATATTATTATAAAAATCTGATTTTAAACACTCCAAGACAGAATCAAAGTTGCCACTACGACCAATAATAGTGTTTGTACAATGTTTACTAATTGTATATTTGCAAGCCTTGTAAAGTTGTGGATCAAGTTGAATATCAAATTCACTTTCAAGAATTATGCGAGATAACTTAAAAAAAAGTTTTAAAATTAAATGACTTAAATTAAAAGATACTTCTTCTTTGCAAGGTGGGGACAATACTGTCATTTTGGTAAACTTTGCAAATTGAGTTCGCAGACAAGTTGCAATTAAAGGACCAAGTTGTTGCTGTGAATATTGAGGATTATTGACTTTTTTGAAGTCTGCTGGACAACTGCAAAATAAAAGAAAATTAATTTAAATAATTGAAAAAATTCAATTAAATGACAAACTATTGCTTGGCTTCTTCATGACAAGAATCAAGTAACTCAGGATTGAGTCGATCATCCTTTGTTCTCTCCAACATTCTAGTTTGGACAACTCTTTGACAGTCTTTTTGAAGAAGTCGGATAATCTTCATATTTGTTAAACACTCAAGAACTTTTTCACCACGTTGATTTGGGCAATGTCGATTAATATCGAATTTACATGAACGCTAAAAAAATTAAGTCAATGATTAGTAGGGTAAAACCTAAAAATATAAAATACCTGCAATTCATCATCAAAAGTATTGTCTAAAGCTTCAATTTTTTCTCTCGCAAAAATAAGTGCTTTGCAATCAGGAACTATAAATTAAAAATAATTTTTGAATTTAATTTTTTTAACCTAATTGATCGAAATTAATTCGAAGGCATTCAACAATTTGTTCAAATCGGGTATTCGGTTCTTTCATACATTGGAAGCGTTTAATGTCAGTTGAACATTTACCCATCAGAGAAGGATCAGCATCATTCATGTGTTCTTTGTCATCAAACTGAAGACACAAATTGTAAAAAAGAAATTAGTTAAGAATTCAAAAAAATTCAGAGATTAGATGATTGGTATATTGAACAAAATTGTATAATAAAAAACCAAAGGAAATTGAAAGAAGAAACAAAAGAAAAATAAACAAAGGAGGAAAAGAATAGAATTGAACTCACATCGACCTGTTCTTGTTGCAGGTAAGCTACGCGCAATTGTTTTTTGCAGTCCTTGCTTAAATCTTTGTCTATTCCGAGAATACGATGTTCAAAAACAATATTGCTTAAACATCTGATGATGGCACCCCTAAAGTATGTGAACATATTTACAGTTAAATTAAAAAGAATCCTTACTTGTCTTGTCCAAATTGTGCACAATTTGCCTTAATATCATCAGTACAAGCCTGAGTAAATCGAAAGTTGAAATGATAGTCACGAAGCGAGATTAATTCGAAATGGTTAACATATGTGCGGCATTTTGGCCCCATTTCCTCAGCATCACGATGTTCTGAAAGACATGTTAAAACATCCCCATGATCAATTTCTTGATTGATATATTGTGAACAATAAGCATTGATTACTGGACGACAAGCACGAGACAAAAGACGATTCAATTTTGTATCCTAAATAAGAAAAAATTTAAGGCAATCTATGGCAGTAATTTTAAAAAGTATGTATAGAACTATTAACTTTTCTATTCAAAAAATTAACCTTAGATTCCATTTTTGTAAATTTCTCAACTTCAGTGTAGCATTTCGGATGCCGTCTCTTGAATTCCTCAGTTTCAAAATGTTCTTGGAGACAATCCATCTCCTACAAAATAAAATTAATAAATCCCACATTTAAATAAAACCTCAGTCGGTTGAACATTTTGGGAGCAATATTCTGAAAGTGCCTGACGACAATTTTCTTCAACATCAGGAAGCATATTGACGCGTGATGCACGCTCATATAATACACGACGAACATTCTGTGCACATTCAGCCTTCAATGGTTTTTCTTCGTCATAACCAGCTCGATAAAGACAGGCAAGAACCTTAACTTTTATTTTTATTTTAAACAATTTAAGAAAAAAAACCTGAGGTCCCGGATCAACAACTTGATTTGATTGCCCACTCAATTGATTCGCACCTTTATGCCATTCAGAAACCGCAGAACAACGATCAACAGCCTCCTGGTGGCAGGCATCGTAAAGCTGTGGATCAAGTGACCAATCACGGGCCATAAAGTATTGAACCTTTAAAATTTTAATTAGAAAGGTTTAAAAGAGAAAAAACACAAATTCCTATCAAAAATTCATGTAATAACCACCTCAATTAAACGTTGTTCACAATCATCAGTCATATCAGCTTCATCCAAATTCTTCATTAAACACGTAAGTGTATTAGCCTCAGAAACAGCATCTTGTTTACATTTTCCTTCAATTAATTCCCTGCAAGAGGCATATAAAACTTTGTCAACTTGATAATTAGATCCAATATCTGCCACTTTAACAAGATCCTGAAGGGCATTTCTGCATTGTTGTGTTAAGGTTTTTTGTTCGTTTCTTTCCTGGGCATGTGCCATTAAACAATGAACGGTTTTCCCTAGAAAAATATAAAGTAGATAAATTTTTAGAATTAATTAATAACCCAAAAGTAACCCAATCAGAAATAATTTATTTAATTATAAACAAAAAATTCTTCGAAAAACCTTCAGTCTCCAAATCTCCTTTTGGTGAACAATATTTATCAATTTCTGTAGCACAATTCATAACAACTTCTGGTCCCATTCTAAATTCTTGTACCATCATTTGACGATGAGAAAACATTTCATGTTTACATTCGTCGCTAAAAACTACTAAATTTGGCCATTGTTTTTTTGGTGCATTTTCATCTTTAGCTGCTTGTTGTCTTTCATGTTCTTGTTGATTATAAAAATGAATTCCATTCTCAAGACAAAGAACGACCCAACTCAGATGAAATTGAAGTGATTTTTCAAATCCTGGTTGTGGAATACATCTATAAGCTTGTAATTCTTTGTCGCATTGTTTTAATAATGGATGGGCTAGACGAAAATCACGTCCTAAAATAATAAAAATTAAATTTAAAGTCAATACTTATTGGATGATTTCAGTAGAAAAATTAATTTAAATCAAAGTTTATTCAATAAAAATATTTATTACCCATCATTCCAGCTCTCTCAGCAAGAATTCTTGCACACTTTGAATTAGATTAATAAAAACAAGGAAATAAGCAAAAAAAACCTCAGGTTGCATTCGTTTATCTTCTTTATGTTGCATCAAACACTGAAAAACTTTCCCTTCTCCAGCATTAATTTCACTACAAAATTCCTAAAAATAAAAATTTTTATATTTATTTAAAAAAACTAATTTACTTCTCTATCATGCCGACATGCAAAAAATAATGGCCCTAAAAAAGATTAATTTTTAAATTAAATTTTTATTTAACAAACTATCCAAATGGAAATCATCAGATTGAAGTTCTGCAATTCGTCTCACTTCTTTACGACACTCTTCAGACATTCCATTAATAATTTGTTCTTTGGTTGGATCTTTTTGAACATTAACGATATTTGAAATAAGGCATTCTAATGTTGAGCCTTAAAATTAAAAAAGATATTTAAATTTTTGAAAAGTAAGGTGTTTTCTTTTCTTGCTATCTTAAATCAAATTTCTCTCCTCCTTTACTTTCTACTTAATAATACACAAATGATCAAGGAAAATTAAAATAAAACAAATAATACTCAAGAAAATTTTAAAAAATTAGGCCACAATTTTGTAATTTCTTAAAAATCGATTTAGTAAAATTTTTTCTCTCTTTGTTACCGAAAACACTTTTCAATAGCAAATAGGGAAAAATCATCTTAAATGGATCTGCAAGAAAATATAAAATTTTCGCTCCTAAATAATTTGACATTCCACCATTTATTTCGTATTTTTATAAATTAAATTGTTTATTATTCATATTTTTTAAGTGCTCCTTGACAAATTCAATCTAATATTAATTATAAGGAGAAAGGAGAGGAAGAGAAAAATGGAGATATACAAAAACATTAAAAAAACCTTGAGAATGTGGCACACGAACATTTTGATGTAAACTGGGTTTTGTTAATTGACCACAACCAAGTTGTTTTATGATAGCAGCGCAATGTTCAACAAATGGCGCAATTAAAGCAAAATCAGAAAATGCAACCTTCTCTACACGAAGTAAAAATTGAAAACAACGAGAGCCTTGATCAATTTCATGGACATGCTCCATCATACAAGAAAGTGCATAACCAGGCCTAAGATCTTGCGTACAAGCTTTTAGACGATGATTTTGGTTAATATCAACAGTGCAAAATTGTTGAAGAGCACCAATAAAACGCTTGTCCTTAAAATTTAACAAAATAAAAATTTTATTCCGCGGTAAAATTTAATTTCGCCCCCTTCTCCCTCAAGATAATAAAATGGACAGACTTAAAATGGATACTTATGGATATATCACCTCCCCCCTATTTTTAATTTCACATTATGGACCGGTATCGTGCTTGTGCAACTATGACATTTACTTAAATTATAAATTAATTTAATTTTAACCAAATAATAAATTAAAATTCCATAAAATTTTTCAAAAAAAACTTATTTAAAATTTAAATACCTGTGTCAATTCAACTTTATATTCCCAGACTGCTTGAGCACACTGTGGTTGTAAAGCTTCATTCTCACTAAAACCAGCATCTTGTAAACACTCTAGGGCATCCATATCACTCAAAACTTCTCCAGGTCCAAGTTGTGCAATATTCTTCTTGCAATATTTATCAATATCCAACCTACAATCAGGTTTTTGTGCAAGCCTTTGAGAGTCCGAATGAGGTTTATTTGCATCAATATTTGCGTTTACTTTAAAAAGAAAATTTAAAAAAATAATTAAAAACAAAAAACCATTATCAGGTGGTGGCTGCTGTTGTATAGGGACTTGCTGTTGTTGATCAGCTAAAAAATATTTTAAAATAAAAAATTTCTATAAATCAGAATTTAAAAGTAAAAAAAGACTTACAGCTGATCCGGGAAAATAATATAGACAAAACAAACAAAAATACAATTTTGGCTGATAAAAGGTCAAAATTCATTCCTGAAAATTTTCCTAAGAAGTCTTAAAGAACATAATTATGTAAATAAAATTAATTAAAACTGGCCAAAATTACTAAAGATGACGCGAAAAATGTAAAATAAGCGCAACACATTTCGGAATTAAAGTGGCCAACTCACCAAGAATTTCGTTTCAAAATTTTATTTTGTCACAAATTTATACTGTAGTTATTAAGGAAAATTTCACGCGCTAAACTAAAAAATAAATATAGTAAAATATTCAGAAAGAATTTAAAAGGATTAACTTTAATTTGGTAATTGTAAATCATTTGAAGAGTTAGATTTGATGATAAAAATTGTCGTTTAATACTTGTGAGTATCTTTAACGTTCGCACTTCTTGCTTCCATTAGCCTTATTCTTCGGTACATCTGTGAAGGAAAATAAAAATTTTATTAAATTAAAAAATGAAAAAAAAAGTTTGTAGACGCAGAATTATTTGACTAACTTGTTCGAGTCCTTTCCAGCGCGCTGTTTCTATCACTACAAAGATTAGACAAAAACAGCACTAAATAAGGAAATTTCTTCTAAAGTAGAAAACCCCGAAATTTTAGAATTGAATAAGATGCTGAAAAATCAAAAATAAGCCCTGTGGGCCAAAAAGTTTGCCTTGAAAAGTCTGTCTTCCATTAAATTTTTTGTCTTGTGTTTTGAAAAATCTATTATCCAATTTTACCTTTGTCCACCCCATCTGCCTCTTTAAAATAATTATTTCAAAATAAAAAAATTATTTATGTATTTATTTATAATTTTAATAATCAATTAATAAAAAAATATTCGGATTATTTACTTACTCGATTAAACAATTTTATTTTAATCTGACAATGAGTCCAATTACTAAATCTAAATTTCTGCCACATTTTGAATTATTTTAACAGATAAGAAAAAGAATTTTGAGTAATTTGTGTTCCGTTTTTCCTTTTTTATATTTCCATTATTTAACAAAGAAGCAACAATCTAATGTTTAATTATCAAATTTTGTTTTTATTTCAATTATTAATTAATTATAGCACAACAAATTGTTTTAGTTTGACTGAATCTGTGAGCTTAATTAAATTTTTAAAGATTTTTTTATTATTTTTTAGGTAGCTACATCAACTACTATAATTCCAAAAAATTTATCTAATTTTGAAAATATCACTTTAGGTGGAGAAAATGTAACTAATATACAACAAGTATTATCTAATACAAATACTTCTTTGACAGAAGGTTGGGGGGGGGGGCAAAAATATATTTTTTTACTCTCAATTAATTAAATCTGATTGAAATAGGAGAAAATATATTATTTTTAATGTTAATCCAAAATAAAATTCTTTTCCATAAAAATATATTTGGAGAATTTCAAAATAATTTATTTAGAAGATGTGGAGGATGATGAATCGTCAGAGCCAGTAGAATTTCTTGAAACAATGAATGGCGATAATTTGGTTAAGGGAGATAAAGTAAATGAATATTTAGAGATTTGTTTAAATTAATTAATTAAAGGTTATTGAAGTTCGAACAGAATGGAATACACATGTAGGGGATGATGATGCTGAAGCTACTGAATAAATAAAATTTTATTTAAAAATTAAATTTCTTCATATTTAATATTTGATAAATTTAATTAAAATTATATTTTTACCAAAAAAACTTCCCCTTCTACATATTTATCAAACATATAGATCTATGTACATATAAATTAACCTGCGCAATTCACTTTTGATAGATATTAAAGATAAAAAAAGTGGAAAGGTTTGTATATGTAGTTTACAAAAACTTTTTTATTTATTAAATTTATTATTAAAGTTCTCCTCTCTCTTTCCGTATTAACCAAATAAAAGGTAAATTTTACATTGTTCTTTAAATCGTTTTTTTTGTGAAAATAATAAAAGAACAAAAAAATAAAAAAATATGTTAACAGCTGGAATTAATACTAGTTATGTATATTCACACAAAAAATTATAAAAACACTTTTTAATTAAAAAATCGATTAGATCAACAATAAATGATTAATTTATGGAAAATGTAATGAACGGCTTTATGATTTGTTTGTTTAATAAAATTATTAGAGAGACAGTAAAGTTTGTAAAAAATAAAATATTTTTAATGTTTATTTTTTTATTATTGATCAAATTAATTTTTTAATAATTTAATTTTTAAAATCAAAAAATATCTTCACTATATTTTGTTTTTTCTTTTTTATCAAAATTTATAAAAAATATTTTTAGACTGAAACGGTTTATTAAAAATATTTTAACGAGAATTTTATAATCGTCTTCTCCCTATCAATATCGTTTTTATTGAAAAACGTCATGCAAGTTAAAGAAAGTGAAAATATTTTAAAATAAAAAAAAGGAAAAAGAGAAATAGGGAGAGATCATCGCGCTGTCAGGAACACCTCTCTCCCTTCCAATAGGAGAAAAATAAAAATAAATATAAAATTGTACATGTACATCCACCAACCACATCTTTTTTCCTAAAAATTTTTATTATTATTTTCTTTCATTTTTAATTTAAAAAATCTTTTCATATTTATTTTACCTCTTGAAAAATATTATGTAAATGTTTAAATTAAAAATTTATATTAACCTACCTACACATTTAAATTAAAGACAAAAATATCGTTTTATGATTAGGGGCTAAAAATACAAAAATTATTTATTATATTTAATAATTTCTTCAAATAACTTTTTAATTTTTATTTTAAAAACATTTTATGCTTTTCCCAATCATTTATTAGTAATAAAATTGAAAAAATTCCTTTTGTACATTCTCTTATAATATTTTTCTATTTAATCTTTGCCTTTTGCCATTCACAATACTTTTAACCACAAATACTATGACTTTTTTTTTAAATTATTTCATTTTATTTTTTATTTTACTTTTTTTTCATATTTTTTGCTTTACATAAATTAAAAATGTTAAAATTAAATTATTTAAATAATTTATTAAATTTTGACTAGAACCAAATCTGTGATCGATCAATATTATCGGGATTGATAAACGATATTTAATATCGATAGTTGAAATTCTAATCGGGGTTTTAACATAAATTTTTAAGAATAATTTAATTTTCCTTACAAATTAGGGTCAATTAATTAAAGTAAAATCGCCTAAATATTTTTTTTATTCCTAAAAAATTTTTTTTTAATTTAATATTTAAACTTGAAAAGCTATCATTTAACAATAAAATCACAGAATATTCTTTGGGCCATACTAATCTGTTTGATATTTTTTTGAATAAGTTTTTTTAAAAACTTAATTTTTAATTTCTGAAATTCAACTTTAAACGATTTAAATTTCCGACACTTCCGTCATTCTCGATTTCCTTCTTTGAAACTTATACACTTTAACCTCTTTCTTGTTTTTTTTATATATTTATTTATTATTAAATTTATTTTTATTTTTTTATTTTTAATTATTTTTAAAAGAAAATAAAAAATGGTTGATCGTCTTGTTCGTTTACGTTCTGTTTGTTCACCAACAAATTCCTTTGATTCTTTTCGAAGTACTCATTTACGTATTGGAGATATTATTTCATTATATGCACCTGATTCGAAAGGGGAAAATAATAACATTTGTGGTCATGAAGGATTTTTGTCAACTTTAGGGTAATTAATGTAATTTAAATGAGGTCCGGGCCACGACCCATTACCCTCTAACATTTCGATGAAAATCAGGGATTGTCCCGGCACAAGTCCATGTAAAAATAATCCGGGTTGAGACCCGGAACTTTGGTAAATTCAAAAATAATTCTTTCTGTCTCTTACTCATTTTTATAGTTTGGTAGATGAACGTTGTGTTGTTGTAGAAGGACATGGAAATTTACAATCACCCCCAGAAACATTTAGAGGTATTTTACAACCAATATTTTTTAATAAAATTATTTAAAAAAAAGATTGTCTTTTCCGTATATGTCCAATAAATAGATATTCAGCACAAAAACAATTATGGATGGAACAAAAAAGATTACAATATTCAAATTCAAGTACTTCTTCAGATTCTTTTATAGATGAGGAAATGTTAATTAGAGTTGAAATTGCTGCAGAAAAGGAAAGAGAACAAAATAGAAATGATTATACAAAAATGTTAGGGAATATAGTTCAAGTACTTAATTATTATTTAAATTTAAATTAATTTTTAATTAATTAAAAAAGTATGGTTCTTCAATCCAACTTTTACATGTAAAATCAGACAAATATTTAACAATGCAAAAAAATTCCCCAGCACGTCAAGAAAGGAATGCAATGCGTGTTTATTTAGATAAATTAGGAAATGAAGGTTCTTGGTTTTTTGTTGAGCCTGCTTACAAACATGTTTCTTTGGGAGATAATGTAAATAAATTTTGTGATATAAAATTAAAAAACAAATAATTACAAAAAAAAAGGTAATGTCTGGTGAAAGAATTACTTTAGTTTCTTTTACTTCGAATAATTCAAACATTTCTTCTGTTGGCCCAAAACTTCAATTACACCTTTCTAATCACAGATTAACTGACCACAAAAATTGTTGGGAAGTTAATTGTTTAAATGAACAAACGGAGTGGCAAGTTTGTGAAATTGTTTTTCGAAAAATATTTGTTTTTAAGGCACATGTTTTTCTTCAATATGACGAAAATATGACAGAAAATGTTAAATCAGTAAATTGAATTTATATATTTCTTTTTGACATTTTTTTCTCGAAGGGAGATGTTCTTCGTTTATTTCATGCCGATCAACAAACATTTTTAACATTAGATTCTGAACCTAAAAACATTCAGAATGATCGAGTATTTCTTAGATTAACTAATAGACCGTCTGCAACTGATGCAACATCTTCTCGCGCCCTTTGGGAAATTCAAGTATTTAATAGAGAAATGCCTTTACGTGGGGGAGCTTTAACTTGGAGAAAGTATGTTTTTACCTCCTCCAAATTTATCGAAAAATTCTTTAATTTAATCTAGATTTGTCCGTTTCAAACATTTGGCAACAGACCAATATTTAACTGTTGTTCCAATTGATAAAGAAATAAAAAATAATGAAGAATTAATTAATAAAAAGGGAAATAATACTAAAAATAACAATATTCTATCTTATAATTCAACAACTTTTATTCAATTCCGTTCAATACCTTCACAGCCAGAAACAGAAAATCCAACATATATTTTAATACCAAAAAGATCAGAAGATCCATGTAGAGATGAGGATATTCTTTTTATGTTAGATCCTTGTACTAAAGTTCAAACTGTAAAAATTTATGAATTTTTTAAAATTATTTATTAAATTATTATTATTAAAAAATAATTTATTTTTTAAGAAGGAATCTCGAGTACCAATTAATTCATATGGTAAAAAATATTTTTTAATTTTTATTTTAATTTATACATATAATTTTTCAGTTCGTTTCCAACACGTAAAGGTGTTTATTGGATATTTTAATTAAAAAAATAATTTAATTTTTAAAAAAGACATGTACTTGGTTGCATTCAACTAATCCTCAACTTAAATCGAATCTTTATTATTCAAGTAAAAATGAAAAAGGATGGGTTAAGGTAAATTTTCTTTTAAATTTTTGGGGGGAGGAGGAGAGTGTGAATTGTGAATTTTTGATAAATAAAATAAGGATTTACAAAATAATATTTTTATTTTCAAAAATTTCAGGTAATTTGTGAGCCATTTAAAATAGATAAAGAAGCTTTTTCACTTTCGCCTGTTGTTCCAAACGAAGTTAGAGATTTAGATTTTGCCAATGATGCTTGTAAAGCTTTACATCAATTTGTGGATTTAATTAAAAGTGGAAAACAAATTTGTAAAGAAATAATTAAATCAACAACCCAATTATTAATTGACTGTATTTATTTTGTTACTGGAATCCAACAAAATAATCAAATAATGATTGATCCTCTAAAAATTTTAAATTTCGAGCCTTTGAGGGATCGACAAAAATTATTAAGGGAACAAGGAGTTCTTGCACAAATATTTGATTTACAGAAAGCTCCCTTCCTTCCAAGACAGGGAATAGGGGAAGTTCATCCACTTTTAAGTGCCCCAGCAGAATTAAATGAACCAAGAAATGAATGCTTTTTAAAAATGTTTCAAGTAAATTTAAATTAATTTAAAAAATATATTTTTTAAAGTTGTCATATTCTTTACTTTTATATTCTCAATGTGGTTATCGTAAAAATCAAGAATTTTTAGCTGAAAAATTTGATCATATTCAAGAACATATTGGATTTAATTTATTAGCTGAAGAAACTGTTAGAGTGTTTTTATTTAAATTAATTTAAAATTTAATTTTAGATGACTGCTGTTTTACATAATAATCCTAAATTGTTAGAGAAATATGTTAAAATACCTCATGTTGAACGTTTTGTTGAACTTGTGGTAAAACTTTTTTGTGGGCTTTTAAAAATTATTAAAAAAGGAATTCGATTTAATTTAAAAATTTTAAATGTCAAAAAATTAATTACGAATAATATCCTACTTAAATTTAATTTTCTTTTAAAAGAGAAATAATCGTTGTGGTAAATTTCTTTTTTATTTGGCCGATCTTTGTGTATGTCGCGGGGAAGCTAATAAGAAAATTCAAGAATTAATATGTAATTGTGTGGTAATTAATAAATAAATACTTGATTTTTTTTAAATATTTTATTTTAAAGTTAAATGAAAAAAACAGAGAAATATTTATGTTAACAGAAAAACGTTTAATTTCTTCTCCTCAAAATAATTTTGAAGTCTATATTTGTTGGGGCTATTCTGGTTCAAAATGTTCACCTTTAGTTAATTGCTCTAATTTAATTGCTGAAGAAGATGAAAAAGAAATGTTTGATTATTACAAACATCAATTAGAATTATTTGCACAATTATGTCAAGACCAACAATATTTAGCTATAGACCCTCCACCTGAAAGGAAATTATTAAATATAAGTCAACAACTTCCTGTTGATTTAGTTATTAAGTATTTTTTTGATTTAAAAATTTAAAAATAATTTAAAAAAGATGTATTTCTGATTCTCGTCTCCCTTTTGATATTCGGGCCTCTTTTTGCCGTTTAATGCTTCACCTCCATGTTGTAAGGGGTTCACCTGTTCCAGCTGTAAGACATGCACGTTTATGGAGGGATATACCAGAGAAAGTTTTTATTAAAAAGTAAATATTTTACAAAAATATTTCCTTAATTTAATTTTAATTTTCTAAAAAGATATCACAGTTCAGCTTTAGAATCTTACAAAAATGAAAATACTTCAATGGATTCTAATAGGGGACATATGCCTGTAATTGAATTTCATCAAGAAATTCTCGAAACTGTCCAAAATTATTTATTAGAATTATGTAATTTAAATAATGGACACCAACCAATACTTAATGATTTGCCTGAATATGCTGACCAAAATAGATTAACATATGAAGTTTTTTTGTTTGTTAAATATTCCAAAAAAATATTTTCTTTTTAGGTTATTAATTTAGCTAAAGCATTAGCCCAATTTGGATTTTATGATTTTGAACAAATGCTTGAATTGACACAATATTTATTAATTATTGTGGATAGTTGCCCTTCTCAAAAAGAGAATAATAATTTAATTAATAATAATTCAAAAATAAAAACACATACAAAATTAATTAGACAAATATCTAAATTTACTTCTATAACTACAACAAAGAATGATGAAGAAAATAATAATGAAATTGCTGTAAATATTTTTTGTTATAAAATAACTAATTAATTTAATTTTTAAGAATTTAATAAAAAATAATTTGTCTTCTACACCCACAATTAACAATAATACTAATAATTATTCAAAACCTCCTCCAAATACTTTAGAAATTCCAATAACAAAAACAATAATACAAAAACAATTTAATAATAACACAAAAGATTTAACTGAAGTCTCGACAAATTCAAAACGTTCAAGGGAAATGCTTTTAAAAACTAAATTAATTGTTGTTGAATTAATTGATTTTATTATGGATGTTAGAAGGTAATTAATTAATTGAGAAAAAATTAAAAGAAAATTTAATTAAAGAGATTTTCGAGTAACAAAAGCACTTTCATTCTACAAAAATTTATTGTCTTCTTGCAATGAAAATGGCGAAATAAAGGAAACACCAGGTAAATACAGCAAAGATTTAATATATAATTTTAACAATAAATACAAAATAAAGAATATTTACAAAAATAATATTTAATACAAAATTATTTTTAAAAATTTTCTTTTCTAGTTATTTCAAAAGAATTAATTGAGCAATTATCTCGTTCTGTATTTATTGACTCAGAAAAAGAATTAGATATGGATAAATATAAGGGTCAACAATTATTAAGAATTTTACTTCAAATGACAATGATAGAGGATTTTCCTCTATTAACTAGCACAGCTTTAAAATTATTATTTAGACATTTTAGTCAATTTCAAGAATTAATTGAAGACATGAAACAAGTATAATTTAAATTTTAAAATTAAATTAAAATTAAAAGATTCAATTACTTGTATCAAATCAAGATATAAAGAATTACCATCAAGTAGACAGAGATTTATTTATTTTAAAACAATTAACTGAGAAAAGCGAACTTTGGGTACATTACGGAACACAATTAGACGGGTCTTCAACAACTAGCTGTTCTTCCCCTTCAAATCCCAGTCAAGATCGTTCAGACGACGATTTTATACACGAAACAACTTTGTCTGTCCCTTCTATTGAAACTTTACAAGAAAAAGTTTCGATTGGTTTAGCTTCAATTGTTAATGGAGAACAACAACAACCACAAAAATATTTAAAAGAAACTTCTACAGGAAATGAATCCCCAACAACTAAAAGGCGTAAAACTTTAAAAAGTATTCGAAATAGTGCTGGAATATTACAACAATCATCACCACAATCTGTTTGAAATGCTTTTTTTTTAAATTTTAAATTTATTTTTTAGTCAATAGTTAAAAGCGGTCCTGCAGCAGCAATTGCTATTTTACAACAATATTATCCAAAATTAGCACGTCAACCAAATCAATTAGCTTCTATTGGACTTTTGTTGACAGGTAAAAAGATTTTTGGATATTAACGATGATGAGAAAATTATTTTATTTCCTCTAGATTTATTTTAATTTTTAAAAATTTATTTAAAAAAGGTAATTATGTTGATAATTATCCTTCATGCCACGCCCCCTATTATCTTCAATTTTTGGGACTATTATTTTTACCTAAAATCCAGGAGGGAATGTGGCATAAAAAATCCAAAATTTATCTTAAAAGGTACAACAACAGATAATGATGGTAATCAACGAAATAAAGCAGAAATTAGCAATACTCTTCATTCAATAATGGAAAAAGCCCCTCTTATTTGTTATTTACTTGTTAAAGAAGTAAATTACATAATTAAATTAATTTAAAAAATAATATTTAAAAGATTATCGTTCGAATGAAAGATTTATGTTTTTCTTGTGCTGCAAGTAATTATCGAAATCAGCAATTATTACGTAATATGCTTGTTTATGAAGTTATTTTGCAATTTCTTTGTATTCCTTTTGACCGAAAAAATGACAATGAAATGCCAAAACTTTTAACTTTAAGTCATGAATTTTTGAGATCTTTTTGCAAAAATAATAAAGAAAATCAGTCAAGACTTTATATCCATATTGCTCCAATTGAAGGTGGAGGAGGAGGAGGAAGTAGTAGTGGGGGAGGAGGAGGAGGGAATACAGAACAACAACAACAAAGACATGAAGGAGGGAAACTTTCCGTTGAAACGGTAATTTGAGAGAAAAATGGGCACAGCCCAAGAGGCGCAAAGCCATAATTCAATTTTGGTACCAATTTCTTTAGCTCGATGAGAGGGATCGTTTAATACTAAATTTAGTAAGAATCGGAAATCCTGAAGTATGTTATGGCTTTGCACGTTATGACGGCGCGTCCTTTTGGGTGTGTCCAAGAAAAAATAAATTATTTGGGATTAAATAGCTTTTTAATCCCTCGCTTCTTTTTCTATAAGAAGAATAAAAATTCGAAACGATGAGGGGGAGATGAAATACTCTTTATTTGCACCTTTAGAATCTTTTATTCTTTTTAAAGGTTCAAGACTGTGCTACAATAGTTTCAATATTTAGAGGAAATTCAGAATTATGTGAACATGTTTCTGAACATTTTATTGGGCATATTGTTAATTTAATAGAAAATAAACAAAGAAATTCTATATTTCTTGAATTATTACAAGTAATTGTTTCGTCTTGTGAAAAAGGATTGGATTTGTGTCAAAATAAAGTTGTTGATGAAGTAAATAGAAATAAAAATAAATATTTTTAAATAAATAAATATTTAGATTGGTAAAGCAGCTGAAGATGTTCGACATTTTTATGTTGATAGTGTTTCTTTTGAACAATGTTTTGTTAAATTTATTTTAAATTTCATTAAATTTTTAAGTAATTGAAATGATGAAAAAATCGAATATATCAGATCTGGATTCTTCTCATCCTTTACGTTATCATATAGAATTGGTTAGATTAATGGCTATGTGTACAAAAGGGAAGAATGCGGTAAAGGAATATAAAAAATAAAAATTATTTTAAATAAATACCCCCTTTTTGGAGTGAAAAATTGTAGGGGGGATATGTAAAATTGAGGGTATTGTTTAAGCAGCTCCCTTATCCAATGAGGGTCTGTCTATGCTGTGGTTAATATTTTTTAAAGGTAACAGAATTAAAATGTGCTTCACTTCTTCCAATGGACCATATTGTCAGGGTTTTAACTTCAAATTGTTGTATTTTGGAAGTAAAGACTGTTTATTTACAATTTCTTCTTACGTGTTATATTGAAACGTAAATTTTTAATTTTTATTTATGAAAGGAGGGGAGGGAGGGGGGGGGATAATGTCCATTTAATAATTTTTTTTTAAAATTATTTTATTTTTTTAGTGATTTAGAATTAAAAGATGCAAATAATTCAGAATATTTAGAATTAATTTTAAACGAAATAATATCAGATATAGACAAATTAATAATTAAATTACAATCAATTGTAGGAGAATATTTAAATAATAAATTACCTAAAGAGATTTTATTTTTGGAAAGATTTGTTTGTCAAATAATTACAGAAGTTTTAATTAAATTTTTTGAAAAAACAAATTATGCACAAAGAGCATTTATTGATATTAAAGTAATTTTTAATTTAAATTTAAAAATTAAAAAAAAATAATTTAAAGCATCATCGAAAATTATTTATAACAATTTTACAAAAATTAAATAAATTACAAAATTGTGTTTTTAATGCTGCTGGTAGACGTCCACACAATAATTGGTATAAAATTGCTGATTGTTCTGAAAGGCTAGCTAAATTTGGTAAAAGAAAATTAAAAATATTTTTTTTAATTATTCTTTTTTTAAAGCAAAAAGTCGTTTTATTATTTTACCTGAAAATTCTCTTTCCGTTCCTAACGGTAATGAAAATAATATTACTTCATCATCAACATTACGAACAATTACTGCCAGACAACGTTGGCAAAGTGCTATATTCTCTGCTCGTTATTTTAGAGTAATTATTTATTTCTTTGTTTATTTATATTAGGGATTTTCTGATGTAAAAAAGTATATTTACGTTTTTGGGGATTGGGACAGCAGGATTTCTTTAAAAAATAAATATAACTTCCATTTTAAAATTTTAGTTCGTTAAATTTTTAGATGTAATATTAGGGGTGTTGTAAATAAAAAGGGAATAAAGAAATTTTTTAAATGGAGAGGAAATAATAAAAAATATTTTTAAAAAATTAATTTATTTTTACATATTAAAGAGAACTAGACACTCAAAATCTCTACATTCTCACTTAACTTCTTTAACTGCTGGTGATGAACCAACAACAGTTGTAGCTTTATATCCTCGTTTAATTAACGAATTAAATAATTATCTTTCTCCTTTACAAAATGCAGAAAATGCTGCTTTAGTTGAAATTTTGAGATTACCCGAAAAATTATGTTCTTCTAATTCTTTGACTTCGAATAAATTTGGTTAAAAAAATTTTTTAATTTAAAAATAATAATTCTTTTTTAGAACCTTCTTGTCATGGAAAATTTGTTAAATCAATGTTAATTAGGCATTGTAAATTACTTTTAGAATCGAAAAGAAATGAATTATGTGGGCGTGTACTCGTTACTTTATATAAATTAGTTTCGAATTTAAAACAAGAATTTAATGAAAATGTAAAAGAAATGCTTGGAGAATTACTTTGTCGTTATTTTGGGGAGGGGTCTGTACAGGGATTAACTACATTTAATAAATCAACAAATTTTTCTATAAATAATTTAAATAAAGAGAATATAAATAAAGGAGGTATAAAGAAAAAAAAAATAATTTTTAAAATATACTTTTACCTACCCAGATTGTATTTTTGATTCAGAACTAAATCCAAAACAAGAAAAAACCCTTTACAATATGCAATGTGATTTAATGGATGCTGGAGCTGTTGATTTAATTATAGATTTAATTGTTATGGAACCCCCATATGATATATTTAAAAAGAGTATTCAATTGGCTAAAGCTTTGCTGTTTGGGGGAAATGATAAAGTAAATAAATATTTAAATTTGAATTAAATAGTTGGGGGACATTTAATTAATAATTAATTTTAGAGAAGTTATGTAACATTATGGAATCAAAACTTTATTTTTTATTAGGTTCAAATGGCATTTTATCAAAGATTACAAGACGATCAAAAATTAGCCTCTCGCTTCTTTAATGCTTTAAAATTAAAAATGCAAGCAGCACAAAATCGAATTAAAGCTGACATTTTAAGTGGAACATCTAATGCTGGAAGGGCAACAACTAGTAAGTAAATGTTTTTTAATAGAATCTTATTTTTTGTTTTGTTTTGAAATGCTGTGTTTTTCTTTTCTTTTTTGTTTTCTTTTTAAGTTTTTTCTACTTCTGGCAGTCGTCGTTGTATGTTTAAATAAATTAAATAAATATAAAAAATATTTTTTTCAATTTTTTCTTTAGCTTCAGCTGCAATTACTCCAAATCCACAAAATGGCGTTAATTGGTTAAGCAGTATTGGGGGAGAAACTAAAAAACATTCAGAACTTTCAGCAAAGAATAGTTTAAATTTAAATATTCCTTTTAATGAACAACAATGTAATGAAGGGGGAATTTTTTGAAAAATAAATCTTTTAATTTTTAGATTTTGATAAAAGAAATAATGTTTGTATTACTTCTTCTAATTCATTTCAACATTCTTCTTGGCAATCTACTACTTCATATCAACAACAACAACAACAAACATTTCTTCGCCACCAAAATCGTTCAGAAATTGAAGAAAAGTATGTTTTAAAGAGATTTTTTTAAATAAATATTCTTTTTAAGAATATTAATTCCAATTCTTCCTATTGAAATAAGTATTGTTGAACCAATTTTACGTTTTTTACAATTACTTTGTGAAAATCATAATTCTACTTTACAAGTAGATAATTTTTAATATTTTAGAAAAAAATATTTTCTTTTTAAGAATTTTTTGCGTACTCAAAGAGGAAGACCAGACTTTAATTTAGTATCAGAAACTCTTACATTTTTAGATTGTATTTGTGGAAGTACAAAAGGAAGTCTTGGAGTATTTGCAGAAATTGGGGAACATAGTATGTTTGTTGTTGTTATAAGCAATAAAAATAATAATTTTTTAAAGATTTTTCTCTTGTTACACAAACATTAATTAGGTAAAAATAAAATTTATTTTTTAAAAATTAATTTTTAATACTTTTGTTTTAGTCTAACAGAATTTTGTCAAGGTCCTTGTCATGAAAATCAAAATGCTTTAGCTAGACATGAAAGTAATGGAATGGATATTGTTATATCTTTAGTACTTAATGATATTAGACCTTTGGCAGATCAAAAAATGGAATTGGCTTTAGAAATTAAAAGTCAAGCCTCTAAAGTATTTAGAGAGAATGTCAAAAAATTCTCTTCCCCTCCCCATTTTTTAGCTTTTGTTAGCCATAATGGAATCTAGAGATGATTCTGAAAATGCTGATCGTGTTCTTCGTTTAATGGCCCATAGCGGCACAAGTACAAGTACTTCCTCCTCTTTATCTTCCTCATCAACTAGCGGGGGCGCTAAACAATTAATTAAAGCAATTGGGCATGCTTATTCAATGTCTTCAACATATTCCCCCTCCCCTTCTTTTTCTTCTACTCCTGGACAGGCATTAGAAGTTGCTAATCATTTACAGCAACAACAACAAATATTTACAAAAAATATTTCTGAAAACAAAAAAGGAGGATTTAAATATTTAATTTCTTGGATTTGGCCTTTTTCTAAAAATAATTTAAATAAACCAGAAATTTGTTTATCTTCTAATGGAAATAATTTAAAGAATAGTAATAAAGAAGAAAAAGACAAAATTAAAGACAAAACTACTTTATTAACAACATCTACTACAACTTTAGTTGACCCTAAAGAAGTTGAAATAAATATATTTAAAATAATTATTTATTTTTTCTTAGGTTGGCCACAATATATTTATTTTAGCCCAACAATTAGGTCGACATAGTAAAGAATTAAATTGGCATCTTTGCCCAGAAAATGCAACAAATGAAAATATTAAAAATGCTTTAACATTTTATCAGCAACATACTGGACAAATTGAAGTTTAATTTTAAAAAGAAAATATTTTAAAATAATTTAAAAATAAAAGATTGTTCGTTCTGATCGAAAAATGGAAAGAGTACTTTTTCCAATTAATGATATTTGTGGGTTTTTAACTGATGAAACAAAACATTCAGTTTTTGTAAATACCGAAAAGGATGCACAAGGATCGAAAATTTCTGATTTTTTTGATAAATGGCCTAATTTATATAATGAAATGAAATGGCAAAAAAAATTACAAAGTATGGAAGGAGTTAGAATAAAAATAAATTTATTAATTTAGATAGACAATTATTAAGTTATTTCACTAAACGTTTACATATTTGGTCAAGAATTTGTTTCTTCTTGTCTGTTCTTCTTAATTTAATTTTAGCAATTTCCTATCCATTTGAACATTCACAAAATTTTGGACAATCACGTTAATTAACTAATTAATTTAAATTTAAAAAAAAATAAATTTAATTTAAGTATTCTTGAGTGCTGACAATCCTTTTATTTATTTATCTTTTTTGGTTGCTCTTTTATATTTTTTCTTTTGTTGTTCTCCTGAATGGTATGTAAATAAATTAATTTAAAATTCTGATATTCTGATTTATCAGAATATTTATTTTTTAAATTATTTTCTAGGCATTCTGTTGGATTATCCTTTTGTTCACAAATTAGTTTATTTTTGGCCATGTTTTCATCGTCAATTTTATCAACAGCGCTTTTTGGATTATTACCAACACTTTGGATTTTGGGTACTTTACAATTTGTTGTCAAGTGGGATTTTAAAAAAAATTAATTTAAAAATAATTCCCTCCCCCTCCCCTTAACAGATGTATCCACATAACTAGTTATTCAGGCAATAAAGGATTTGTGGAAGACCATAATTGGAAACAAATATTTTCTGATTCAACATTTTTATATCATTTGGCTTATTTAATTTGTTGTTTGTTAGGACTTTTAATCCATCCATTTATTTATTCTTTATTGGTTTTTCTCTTTATTTTTTAATTAAATAATAATTATTTTTTCTAAAAGTTATTTGATGTTATTGCTTGTGAAGAAACACTTCAAAATGTTATTAGATCAGTTACTCGTAATTGGCAATCTATATTTTTAACTGGTCTTTTAGCATTAATTTTAGTTTATCATTTCTCTATTATTGGGTATTTATTTTTTCAAAGAGGTAAAAGAAAATTAAAAAAGTTTAAAAAATTTTTTTAAAGATTTTCGATTAGAAGTACATAAATTAACGGATTCTGAAGAAGAAATTGGAAATAAATGTTTAAATCAAAATAATTATTTTTATAAAAATTATTTAAAAGAAGAGGAAAATAAACAAAAATGTGAAGAAAAAAATAATTTAATTGAAGAAGATGATGAATTAGAATTAAAAGTACCTTCTTGTGAGACACTTAGAATGTGTATCTTAACAACACTTAATTGGGGTAATTTTAAACAAAACTATAAAATTTAAATTTTGTTTAATCAATTTAATTAATGTTAAATAAATTGACAGTAAAAGAAAAAATTAAAATGGTATTTGAAGCATTCTCATAATTTATAACGAGTTCGGGGGGTTTTCAGGCTTATCCTCGTATTTTTGAAGAAACCATGCTTTTTAGGAGTCTAGTTGTGAAACCTTGACCTGTTATAAACTCCCGGACCTTCGCAATTATTTAATCACAATGAAAAGAAAAAATAAGTAAAAGTTGATGGAAGTAATATAATAGTAAAAGCAAATTCGCATTGGTCAAGTCACAACAAAAAAATGGAGAAAGGGCCGGAAATTCGAAAATTCCGAATTCTAATAATTACAGAGTTTTAAAGAACTATAACTAAAATTGATGTACATTCATTTAACACCAATTTCTATACTTTTTAGGACTTAGGAATGGAGGTGGAATTGGTGATGTTTTGAGAAGTGTTAGTCCACATGTAAATGTTTTTTTAATTTAAAAATATTTTTTTTATTTTAAAAGGAGCCTTATTTCTTTTGGAGAATTTTGTATGATATGACTTTTTATATTGGTAAATTAAAAAAAAATAATTAAAATAAAATTGTTTTTTCTAAAGTTTTAATTATTATTGTTCTTAATTTAATTTTTGGAGTAATTATTGACACTTTTGGTGATTTGAGAACAGAAAAAAATGAAAAAGAATTTACTTTGGTTAGTTAAAAAATAAAATAAAAATATTTTAAAAAATTATTTTTAAAGAGAAATACTTGTTTTATTTGCGGATTGGAAAGAGGAAAATTTGATAATAAATCAGTTCAAGTAACTTTTGATGAGCATAATGAAAGGGAACATAATCTTTGGCATTATATTTATTTTATTGTTTGGTTACAAATTAAGGATGAAACAGAATTTACTGGACCTGAAAGTTTTGTATCTAAATGTGTTAAAGTAAATCTAAAAAATAAAAATATTTTATTTAATTATTTAAAAAAGAATCATAATATGGATTGGTTTCCAAGAATGCAAGCAATTTCTTTACAAAAAGAAAATGAAAATAATTTGGAAGAAATTGAGAATAATAATATACAAAAACAGCAAATATTACAATTAGAATTAAATAATTTAAGAGAACAATTACAACAAAATCAATCTTTACTTAGAGAATTTGGACAAAGAATGCAGGAATTACATCAATTATTAATTATTGATCAACAACAAAATTAAAAATAAATAAATAATAATTAATGCCAAAGACTGCCATTTATAGGAATATATTAATTTAAATTAAAATATAATTTTATGACAAAAATTTAACACATCTTTTTCTTAATAACTCCAAAAACAAAATTACTTATTTCCATTCTTTTGCCATTATTATTTAATTTTAAATCTTGCCTTAACCAAAAGTTGAATTTTTTGTAGCCTTCCTCAGGATTTTGTTAATTGCTTACTAAATTTATTTTTTTGTCATTTCATTACTTTCTACTTATTTTTAAAATACTAGAGATTTATGTAATTTTGTAAAAAATAATATATGTATATTTTACTAAATGTGTATGTATATTTATGTAAAAATCTAAAATTTAATCTATTTATGATGAACATTAATTCTTCACATTTTGTTTTTTAACACTAATTTTTGTCGCAGCTTTTTGTACAGTTTTGTATTCTTCTAGTACTCGCTTAGCTGGGTGTTCCTTTGTGCAGCTTCTCAAATGGACGGGTAATCTATCAGGTGCAAATTTTCTACCACAGTTCTCGCAAGGAATGAGTTGTGCGAGTGATGCATCGTAAGCAGCTTGGTTGGTAGCTTCGAAGTCAATGGGACCCCCTTTAATAAATTATTTTTTTAAAATTATTTTCAAACCTTCGTCTCGCACAATTTCTGGAGGTTTGGGCTCAGGTCGACGCTGAGATTTGGGCAATTTTTCATTTTGTATGTGCCACTTTTTAAGACATTGTGGTTGATGTATGCCAATACTAGCCGAACCAAATTGCCTTCCACAAATATAGCAATAAACAGTTGGGGCCGCAGTGCGCGCTCGCGGTGGGCCTGGTGTTAAATGTTCCTGTGAGGGAATAATTAATTTCAAATAATTTTAGTTATGAAAAGCTTACATATCCTAGCATCTATTTAGAAATATCAGTAGATTAATTAGTTAGCAATAGGCATTGTCTTATAAATTAAAATAGAACAGAAATTTATCTTTTATTTAAAGAATGGAAAATAAAAATTCGACAAAATTATTAATAATGTAAAATTGAAATTTTATTGAAGCGTATTTTAAAAAAAATAGTAAATTTGTGGCAAATTTTTACGCCCCACATAGTTTTACGCAGGGTGTATGTCCAAAATAGGATTATTTTTAGATATTTGTGTAGTTAAAATTTTGAGTATAATATAAAACATTTATACACAAGAAATTATTCAATTAAATTTTAAAATTTTGACTTGGAATTAATATAGTTGGTTGGGCTCTAAATAGTTTTAGGAATTTAATAGCACTTTTTATTTTTAAAGGATGGAAAATTCCTGTCAATAAACTGCCGACGTGAGAACCTAAAAGAGAGCGAACACGGGAAAAGTGCAAAAAAAGGATAAAGGACGAACAAGTAACCAACTTAAAATATAAATATGTTAGTTCTCTCCTTAGCAACCAAAAAATAGTAAAACTTAAAGAAAGTGTTCTAAGTATTATATTGGATTTTCAAACGAACATCTTTAATGAATGGAATTAGCATGTTTTATTAAAATAAACAATTACATAAAACCAAATAAAAAATCGAAAAATAATCAAAAAAAACTTTTAATATAAGAAAAATATCAAAAAATGTATGTATACACCTTCCATTTAATTTATTTAATTATCAGTTACTACAACTACCTCTTCTTCCACAGCACCAGAGATTATTGATTGTTGTTGTAATTGTTGTCCAGAACTTTCTATCACCTCATCATCATAATATTGTTGTTGATGTTGGAAACCTCTTGCATAACCAGTCTATAAAAACAAAATTTTAAAATAAATGAAAATATTTGTTATGTTTAATTAAAAATATAAAACCCCCATACTTCGTTTCGATCAAAAAGCTGATAATTATTCATCATTCTCCCATTAGCAGTTTGCATTTGAGAATACTGTCTCTGGGCAATTTGTCGAGAACCATAACCAATCCGAGGATATGCAAAACGATATGGTTGTTGATATATTTGTTGAACACGTGGCGGGTTTATCTTTAAATACAGAATTTAGAGGTCTAGATATTTAACGGGAATATTAATTCGTCTGAAACTTTCAGAATTAAAAAAGGATTAATTTTTCGGCAAAATTTGTAAAATTCGGTTAACAACCCTACCGGTACTTCATAATGTAAGACACCACCAAGACGCTGTTGAGGACGACGTATTTGCTGATGATGACGAATTGGAAGTTGCGTTGAAATTACTGGTTGTCTCGACGCAATTACTGGATGTTGCCAATAACGAGGAGAATAACGCTATAGAATTTAAATTTCTATTTCAGAATTTATTTTTAAATTTATTACCGTATTAACCGGTCTAGGAATAACTGTACATCTAGCAACTGGTTGCTGTTGTTGAATTTGAACCAAATTAGAGGCTGATTGGGGTTGAACTTGTTTTGACATTGGCGACAAGAAACTGCCCAACGGACCACCATCACCTGTTGGCGCAACTCCACTTAGATTTGCACGAGTGGCACGAACAATTATTGGATCAGCTGTGGCAGTCGGCGGTGATTGAAATTTGGAAATTGAATTCGAAGAACTAAATTTAAATTAGAAAAACTAATAAAAATATATTAAAAAACAAACTCATTAAATGTGTCCTTGGAGACAGTTTCAGTTGGCTGGCTAATATCGGTACTTGTTAATGTTCCTGTTTATTAAAATTTATTTTAAAATGTATTAAAGGAAATTTTTTATAAAATTGAAATTTATTTAAAAACCTTCAACAATTTGATCAACATAATCACGTAATGCAGGAGGCAAACAAGCTTTAATATGTGGAACATGTTCTGCAGGAACTTCATCTCGCTCTATTCCATAAGCCAAACCAAGACGTTTTAAAACTTCAATATCGTCATGAATTTCAAAAGGTCGATCAAAATTAAACCAATACTCAGACCTAATTACAAAATATTTTTAAATTTATTTAAAAAAATACTTGTCTGGGGCAATTGCACATTCAACCATTGTTTTACGTTCAGTACTAACAATAATATAAGGTAAATAAAGAATTGCTGAATTTGGTGGACGTCCATTAATTCTTTCCCTTTCTCGATTTCGTTGTACCAAAGATTTATAAGCAACTAACTGAACAATTAATTCCTGTAATTGCTCAGTTTTCTGTCGAATTCGCTCTTTTCGTTGTGCCAATTCTTCTTCGAGACGTCGACATTCAGCTAATGAAGATGTTGGTAATCCAACCCAACGAATTTCTTTTTTCTCTTTTTCAATTATATTCATCGCCATTAAAACATTTAATGCGTCATAAACCCGACGACGAATATTTCGAACATCATATTGATATTTTTCCTTAAAAATAATTAAATTTAACCTGATAAAATTGAAAGAACCGGGTCTTGTGGCATAACAGAATTATCGAAATATTCTGTAACTAATTCATCAGCTACTTCGTTGTAGTTAGTTTGTCCTTTGTTTTTAACTTTTTCGCAAACTTTGTGCGCAAAATGACGCAAGCCTCTAGTTTTGTCTGTTGAACGTTGCCGTAAATAAAAATGTGGCGTTAACTGAATAAGAATAGAAACAAATTTTTATTTAAAATTTAAAAAAAGAAACCGCTTGCGCCACAGGTGTATGATCGACATTAACATAATCTTCTGAAGCACCACTCTCTCCAACATCATCGTCATAATGCCGAGGACGTTTCAAGCTAATACCAACATGTTGTTGTTGTAATCGTTGATGCTGATAAGGATAATTTGGAGGAGGAGTTGAGTAAATATTTGAGGAATAAGGCCGCTGTGCTGAAGAAAAAAAACGCAATTGCGCTGAGTGTCCTCGAGTCTGGTCCATTAATCTAAAATTAGAACATTTAAAAACAGAGCGGATAGGGAACAGCATATCACAAAAAAGGGCAATTCCCAACCCTGTTCCCTTATTGTTTAAAAGAGATAAACAACAATTTGCACAAACAAAGGCAATTATCAATGCCACAAAATAATTTTTAATAAAAATTTAAAATTTTTAAAATTTTCTTTAATTTTTCGGTTTTGTAAAATGATGAAATGGTGTTGTTATGTTATAATGGCATAAATAATATGTAAAGAAACAGATGAAAACAATTAATTGACTTGAATTATGTCAAAAAGTCAGCAAGACTCTTTTGTCTTTACATTTATTTTCAGTCTCAGCACAAACCTAAACCTTTAGGCTTGCTTGTCAATAGAGTCTCGGCGACTTAGCATCGAAACGCCTTTTTCTATGCCATAACTTTTTTTATTTCGATCATTTCCAGAAATTTTCTTTATCAATTAGAATCTATATTTGTTTTTATTCTTTTTATTAACTTTATGAAAAGATCCGACCATTTCTTAGAAAGTTACACCCGCCTAAGTATGTTAAATCACGATTATTCACAGTTAACGGCTCCTAACCGTGGCGCGAACTTTGCGGATCCGAATTTTGCGGACCCGAACTTTGCGGACTCGTAATTTGCGGAACGAAAGTTGCGGACCCGAAGGTTGCGGACACGAAATTTGCGGACCTGATTTTTGCGGAACCAAGATTTTAGGACCGACACTTGAGTAAAATTGAAAAATTAAAAATTTTACTTTTCGATGATTCCGGCAGAATTTACCATGATCCGTACCGGACTCATGATTTTTTCTTGATTTTTCAAAATTTTTATCAATTTCTTATCTTAAAATTATTTCATAATTTAAATAATCGAGAAAATTCCTTTAAAAAATCATTTATATGGCCATTTCATAAGGTCATGATGTCTGAATTTATCCTAAATAACGTCACAGGCTAAAATTTTTGAAATTTCCGAGGTTCAGTAGACTCTATTGTCGGTCCGCAAATTTTTGGTCCGCAAATCTCAGATCCGCAAAATTCGGGTCCGCATAGTTCGGGTCCGCAAAATTCGAGTCCGCAAAGTTCGGGTCCGCAAATTTCGGGTCCGCAAATTAAAATCCGCAAATTTCGGCTCGCCCTCCTAACTTTTTTGAAAGACGGTAAAACTACACAATTTCTATGAATGAATAACCAGCACATCCAGAGCTTTTAATTAAAGTAAAAATTATTTGGATTGGTTTAAAAACAAAAAAGTTATACCCCAAAAACTTTCGTTTTTCTGCCATATTTTAAGACTCTTTCGTTACCTGGTTACTTTTAGTCTAAACCTTTTGAAGCCTAAACCTTTAGGTTTTTAAACATTTGAGTCTCACCACTCTTCAAACTTTTTTTTAATTCTAGCTTTCTTAATCGTTTGTTCTTCTTAATTAGTGTATAAAGATGAACACGAATTGATATTCTGAGATAGAGTGCGGCATGAGACGGGGTCCCGTCAGTTTTTATTGGACAAATTGGATTTTGAGATTTATGGGATTAATCTCGCGGGATCCCGGACTTGTGATTACGCCGCACTCTATTAATTAAAACTTTATGCTTTTTGAAGGTGTGAAATAATGGAATTTAATAACGGGAATTCATCAGTAGCAAGTACTTCGTCTCTTCAAATTCAAAATGAAATTGGAAGTGGAGACGCAAAGTTTGGTGAAAATTCTGAAATTACAAATCGTTGTTATTCTTCATCAGAAAATGTTGCAAGCAGTAGTTTTGGCGATATTTATGGAAATACTTCTACAAATTCTGATGAAAAAGATTCTTTATTACAAACAACAAAATTATTTTTGGGGGGAGAATGGATTGAAATACCTAATGCACTTATTAATGATGTATGTATTTTGATTTTATTATTATTTTTTTAATTTTTAGGAGTTTACTTTTCGTTCTGCAATTAATAAAGAATCATTTCAATCACTTTCACAGGCAGCAAAAAATCATTTAAATGTTTTTTTTAAATTTATTTTAAACTAAACAAATTAATTTACAGCGTTATTTGCCTGAATCTGATGGAGCTTGTTTAGATGAAGTATTGTCATCTACATTCTCAACTGACAAAAATTTCTTTTTTGGGAATCCGATGGAGAAATTCTTCAAAAAGATTAGCGGTAATTTTTTTTTTGAATTATTTTTGTTTTAATTTATTTTAATTTTTAGATGGTTATTTTAGTTCTTTTGATCAAGTCCAATTAAGAGATCACAAACGGGTTTGTAATTTACATATTTAATTTTAAAGTTTCTTTTGATTCACTTTAAGGTTCTCTATGACCATTATATTCGCCATTATCATATGAATTTACTCAAAAATTTGCTAGTTAGTCGGCATGTCTGTTTCTTTTTTTATTTTTAACTACTGAAAATTTCAGGCACTTCTCGAAACTACCTCCAAACAGAAAGCAAGTCTTGCCGAGCATTCCCGAGATTCTCTTACTTCGGTTTCTTCCTCAATTAAACATTTACTTGGAGAATTAAAACCACAATCTTCCAATACTAAATTAAAAACAAATAAATTAAATTATTCTAAACGTCGATTAGCTAAACATTCAAATGTCAAACGACGTGCAAAAATACGAGCGAGATTGTAAATAAATTTTTAATAAAATAATCGAAAAATTATAGTTGACTTTTATATTATAAATTTATTAATTTTATACAAAAAATATTTTTATTTGCTAGAATGATTGATGATTGTCGTGTCAGATCAGGCCAAAATCCCGGTCTGTCTTCTGACGAATCTGGGCAAGGTTCTTCTTCTCTGTTTTTTTTTATTTTGAAAAAATATTTTTAGAAGAATGTTCTATTCAACCACTTCCTCAAAATTCTCGAAGTACAATGTTTACAGAAAAATTCCCTGTTGATTTGGATTTATACCAGCCAATAAAATTGCGTGATGTTGCTGATCTTTATCGAGAATATCGCTATTTGCGCGAAGTTGAACCCGTAACTGCCATTTTTCTTATCAATAATTTCTTTATTTTCAGGATTGCCCAAGTCTTGATATTAGTGACATAACTCTGTAAGTTTTTATATTTTAATATTTTTATTGTGGGATTTGTGAGAAATTGAGTTGTGTTTTAAGTAGCGATTTAAAAATTATTTGATTAATAGTTGTTTTTGTCACATTTTTTGATCCTGATTATTCTATTGTCTGGAATGTTTCGGCCAATTTAAAAATATTGATCAATTAGAACAAATAAGGTAATTTTTATTTTTTAGTGAAGAAGTTTATGAACGAACTGGTATTTCGTTCCAAACAGAACGTAACTTCTTTAAATTAGCCGAACAAAATTTTGCACAATTTACTAAACAAAAATATCCTCAAAAGCAACAAACACAAGAACAACAACAACATTTCTGTAATGGTGGAAGTATTACTACTCAAAATGAAGTTAAACTTGAAGTAGCTTCTCCTTTAAATTAGGATTACACTGGGGTTGAGATGTAAAAGTATACAATTTTATTGACGAATATTTAAAATAATAGTTATCTCATTTACCCAAGATATTATAGTTTAATATGTATGTTTTTGATTTTGACCGTTTTAGATTAGGGATGGTCGAAATAAAAAAATTTCGAAACTAAATGGAAAAAATGAATGAAACGAAATTTTGCCCATCTCTTTTTTATATATTTTTTAATAACAACCTAATTTTATATGATTCTTTTGGATAAGATACTAATTTTTAATATTATTTTTGTCTATTTTTTTTTTATTTTTTTTAAAATAAATATTTAGGATACATTTAACATAAGTAATAAACAGGAAATACCAATTAAGCTTCATTCCTTTAATACATACCTATATGTGTATTAAATAATTTTCATAAAAACAATTCTGGCTTCGTAGGATTTGTGCAAATTTTTAGTAAAGTAAATATCTCTTAGCAACTATAAACTAACCAAAGCTTTTATTATAAAAACAACATGCAAAATTGCACGATAGAAGAATTGACCGGAAGTGAATGAAGGAGGAAATTTAAATGGCCTTTGAGACTTAGAAAACATATAATAGTAAATAATGTACTTTTTACGTATGCTGCTACCCTTTATTATAAATAAAGTCTATAGTATGTAGCAGGGACAAGCGCGTTGCGTTTTACGTTATTTTTGACGAAATTAGCGCAAAAATATACCAAATTTGCGAACAGAAATCTGGATCCTTGGCAGAAATCTGAATCCACAGAATTCCCAAGCATTCTAAGCTTCAAATCGGCCTCCTGACATAAAGCAATTGGACAGAAGTAAAGAATGTAATATTTAATTCTACATACAATATTAGTCCTGCAGAATTTAAACAAAAAGGACTTCTCAAGAAATTTCCTTTGCCAGTTAAAAAAACTCTTAAAAGTCTAAATAATGATGTCAAAATTAAAAACATCAAATGAGCATGCTAGATAAATTATAGAATGGTCATTTTGTTGAAAAGTACACAACGAAAAAAAGCTCTATTATTTACGTAGATATATATGTACTCCTTTTATGAGTGCATGCATGCGTGAGTGATTGAAAGGAAATAGAAGAATAAATAAACTAAAAAGGGATGTTTTTTAACAAAAAAGAGAAAGATTGTTTTTGCACATCAGACAACAATTTCCTCCTTCTATCCTTTTTCTAGAATTTCCTCTTTTACTTCAGCTGTTTCTTTTTAAGCTTTCAAGCCTTTTTCCAGCCCCGTTGTTGCCGGCTGTTGGTTGCACTTTTATTTTTGCAGAAAAGGCTCATTCATTTTATTATTTACGTCATTCCTCATATAACCTTAAAATGATGGCATCGAAGAAGAAGGGATGGGGGAATTTTTAGTACTTATTTTTGCCTTTTCATTCGTATTTTTATATCCCAAAATTTTTTTATCTATTCTCAAAAAAAGGGAAATAAAGTTTTTTTAACTAAACATTAATTTTTCAACGTAAATCTTTATCTTTTGACTCTAAAATGTGTTATTTAATAAAAAATATTTTTTGAAGCATGGTATACAAATTTTTCCTTTTGTAATTTTTTTCTTTACGGAAATTTTTTTCCTTATAATTTGTTGAAAGATTTTTGGACACCTAACCTAAAATATTGCTAAACTTTTATATTACAATAATAAATTTGTCAAAATAAAATGTATTTTTTCAATTTATTGCCAAATAATATTCTCTTTTTTTCTTCATCTACATACATACATAGGATGATTTTTTCCTTTTAAAATAAAAATTCTCTTAAAAAAGCTTTTTGGCTTATTCACTTTTATTTTTTACCATTTTTGGCAGAGAATTTTCTCAAGTGCTTTTCGTTTTCTTCCATTTTCTCTAAGGAATTGGCTATATATTTACTTTGCTACTTTTGCAAAACCATCAGTCCAGTTAGCCTAAAAATGGATAAAGAAGGCCACAAATGTCCGGTAAAATTCCGTGCCAGTCAATTTCATTCAGTAAAAATGCCCTAAAGTATTTTCTTCAACTAAATATACATAAATATATGCATGTATGTATATATCCACTACTTTTGGCAAAATTGGAGTGCTTGTCCTACATAGTAATTCCTTATAAAAAATATTTTTAAATAAAATTCTTTCGGTCCAAGGTTGGCGGATCCTGGGAAATCCCCGGTATCCGGAACCATAATGTTTAAAGTAGTTAGGATAGAATAATTTTCGGGGAGGCAGCGCCATGTATTGGATAATAAGCCAGATTTCTTATATTTTTAGTGCCGCAGGCGAGAGTTTTGATAATTTTTAAAGTTACTTTTAAACTTTAAAAAGTTTAATTTTGTGAATAATTCACATACATATTTTATGTAAATTATTCATTTTCTGAGGTTTATTATTTATTATTCATGTAAATATTCATTCTCCGGAGCTGGAGCCAAGATTTTAAAAGCTCGGGGCCAACAAATGCCCAATACCCGGCACTGGTAGAGCCCTTTTGCCAAAAATTTAATTGAAAATTTATAAATGGACGATATTTTTTACTCTAATAATTGACGTTGTTTTGTTCGGACGATGTTCTGTCACGATGCGCATTTTCTCTCATAATATTTTCTCTTTTTTACTCAGAAAATGACCGACCCAATTTTCTATGAAAAATAAATATACCTATACTACATACATTATAATAATGCAGCTGCCCATGGTCCATTCATCAATACCATTATCTCTCAGTATTTGCTTGGTTAGCTTAACTAAAACTCTCCCTTTATTCAAACAATTCGATTCATCCATTTTTTTTTATTTCTCGCGCTCTTTTAACAAACAATAGTACCTAATCTTTTTCATTAAAATTCCATTACTACATCCTGCTGTTTAAATAAATAAATTTACCTATTTATACATATTTAATCTTTTTCAAAATAAATTTACAAAAAAATAATTTTCCTGAATTTTTTTAAAAAAAATTTTTTTCATTATAATTTAATTATGATTAAAATAAACATTTTTAATAATAATTATTTTTGCGTCGAAAACTTTATATTAAAAATATATTCACATAATTTCCGTTTCCCCTCATTATGTATATCCTTTATTCATTCATTAGTGTCCTGTCTGCATAATATTTTCCAATTATTTATTTTTTTCTTCTGGATCAAATTTACAAAACCCATTTTCAATAAATTCTTTTCACCAAAATTTCCCTTTATAATTCATATTACATATTATCAAAATATTATTAAAAATTCATTCAAATATTGTATCTTTGTTATCCATTTATAAGCGTGAATTATGTTCTCATTTCCCTGAATTTCTTTAACGAAAAAAGCTTTGGGGTATTTCGGTATTCCTACATATTCTGCCACCTCTTGAAATTCTAAAAATGTCAATTAAAAGGTAATAGAAGGGCACAACAATACGCACATAACGGCGGTCATTGATCTCGAAATACAGAAGTATCGCAAAAACTCAAATACAAAACGTAAAACAAAAAATAATACGAATGGCAATAAGATGCAGTGCAAACATAAATTTTTAACCATTATGCGTCCACGAACATTTAAGGAGTAAGGTTGGAAATAAACATAATCGAACCCGAAGATATCGAATTAAATAATAATAAAAGTAATAATTAAATATTAAAGTAATTTAGTAATAAATACTATAATTACATTTACATATTTTTCTTAAAAGTGTAGGGACAAATTGTTGCTTCTTCTCTTTATTTAAGTCTTAATTTTTCTTCCTCTTTTCTAGCACTTTTTTACCCCGATTGTCGGCACTTAATAAAAGAAAGTCAATACTATTGGAAGTAATAAAAATATTTTTGTTGAAAAGATTTGGTGACAAAAAATTTTTTTTATTAATGTTTGCCCTGTTCGTTCGTCCTTCTATTTAGTCCCCCCCCCTACCCCCCCCCCGTCCCCCATCTTTCCCTCGGCGCCGATCGATTTTATTCTCAGTTATTTGTTCACAGAAGAGAATTATTCTCTCAATCGTCTATATTATTATTATATACTGTCAGGAAAAGAACTACTTTTCCCTTAAAATATTTTTTTCTTTCTTAAAAGTTTTACAATTATTTAGTAGCGGTTAAATAGCTTTTCTTCCACTTTAACGATGAAGTCTCTGTCAACACCTCGAGACCTGTTTTTTTATCTTTAAAATCTTTATGTGGATTTGTTCTAGCAGTACTTGTCTAGTGATTTGTCGACGAACAAAAAGCGCAAGGAAAAACATTTTATTTTGGAAACAATTAAATATATATTTATTTTTAAAAGAATTGGTTATAATTTACGAAATTAAAAAAGGAAAACTTTCTCGATGAAAAATTACCGTATTTTTCCAACTACAGCCCCACTCTCAATTAGAGCCCTACTAGAGATCGGAATTTTGAAAAAACCGGGTCCGAGAATCGGGGGTATAAAAAATATAAAAAGATACCCCGTGCGAAGCATGGGTTTTCTTAAAAATTCATTGACAAAATTATAATTTTAGTTAAATAAATATAGTACATATGTATGTATAGTATTTTATAAAAAAAATTTCTTATTTTTAACTAAATTTTAGTTACCTTTTAAACCTTATATTTTACCTTCCATTACGTGAACATATGGAAGAAAAAAAACTAAAAATTTATTTATTTATGTGACTAATAAAGCAGCAAAACAATATTTGGCCACTAAAAATCAGTTCGCCCCCATCCACTATACATACATGTTTTTTTGTTTGAATCTTAACCTTTTTTTATATTCATCATTTTACTAGAACACACAAAAAACGTTCACCATCCACTATACTTTTAGGAAAATTGTCTCGATTCTGATTCTCAATTAATTTAAATTAAACTCTTAAGTAGATTTTAATTATTTTCATTTAATATATTTTTACAAATTTAAAACCAAAAATTTAAGTAAATTTATGTAGATGATTTTAATTAAATTTAAAGAAAAAGTTTAATAAATTTATTCAAAAACAACATTTAATACATATTTAAAATGAATTAAAAAATTAAATAAAAATATTATTAAAAAAATGAATATTTTTAACAACAAATTCCAAAATTTATTTTGAAGCAACAATAAAAAGAATAGAATTAAACTTTTTAAACGTTCAAGTATGTATTTAATAATTAAATTAATTTTATTTAATTTTATTTAATTTTAAAAATTGAGAAGAAATTATTCAAAATTTAGTAGCTAATATAGTAAATATATTTTTTAATATTTAAGTTAATCTCTTGTTATTTTTACTAGTTTTTAAATTAATAATTAAATTTAAACTAAACATTAATTTAAAATTAATAATTTAATCCTTAATTAAATAATATGTCTGTTCTTTGTCGTTTACTTTAAAAAAAGTTAAAAAAAGAGAAGCCTATAATTCCTTTTATTTTTCTTTATTTTTCAATTTATTAAATAAATAGTAGAAGACCTCTCATAATATTTATACACAAATTAAATTTATATTAATTATTAATAATAAAATATATTATTTATAAGATTCTTCGATATAACGCCCAAATCCTGGCACGAACTTCCCGGGCACGAAAGCTTAGGACCGATGTAAAAAATAAAATTAAAAAATATCAAATTCTCTCCCATCGATACCCCGCTTGATTTACCGATATCCCCCTAATATTCCTGATAAAGGCTATGTGTCGAAATTTTTGCTTGGCGCGCCAAACGCCAATTTTTCAAAATTTTAAAACACGCCAAACATAAAACGCCAAAAATCTGCCAAAAATGGAAGTTTTTTAAAGCCAAATAAAGATCGAAAATCACGACTGGCTTCAATTATTCGGTTGTAACTTTTTTAAGATTATCTGATCAAACCAATCCTCGTAGATAAAATAATCCACATTTTTAGAACTTTCTTTTGATATTATTCTAATTAAATTGTTTAAGAATCAAACAAGTTATGGCCAAAATATGCCCCAAACACTGAATCGGTGATACTGAATCGTCCCCCACCCTTCACGTGAGGTTACTAGAGTGCCGCCACTAGAGTGCCAGCCAGCTTTTATCGGCTTTTCTTTATTTTTTTTATTTATTCGCCCAATGTTTTGATAAGGAAACAGTAGCGGAAATTTTATGTCTTTATAGTTTAATATTTTTTATGAGTCACTTACATGTATAAGAATAATTTACAAATAAACATTTAAACGGTTAGGGACGATTCCGCGCCGACGATTCCGCGCCGACGTTTCCGCGCCGACGTTTCCGCGCCAGGTCAGTTCCGCGCCAGGTCAGTTCCGCGCCAGGTCAGTTCCGCGCCAGCACGTTTCCGCGCCAGCTATAGAGGTTCCGCGCCAGTTATAAAATAAGTAAATAATAACCTGAACACGAGCCGGTCCACTTTCTATACATGTATGATTACCTACTTAAAAAGATAATGGCTTTTTAGAATCAAAAAAATTTAAAAATCAAAGTATCACATATTTTGTATAGCTGGCGCGGAAACGTGCTGGCGCGGAACTGACCTGGCGCGGAACTGACCTGGCGCGGAATCGTCGGCGCGGAAACGTCGGCGCGGAATCGTCGGCGCGGAAAGATACCCCACCGACATTTAAAAGCGTTAAATATTTTTATAAAATAATTTGATAGAAAATTATCTAAAATTTTTGTTAACTATTAAATGAATGACCAAAATTTGGTAGAACATTACAATTGCCTACGACAACAATCTAATCACCAACGAGGACAGAAACGCGACGGCACACCTAGCTCAGATCCATCACTTATTCGTCGGCATACAACGCCTGATATGGCGGCTTCGGCCGCATATGGAATGGGTAAGAATGCTTTTTTTTATTTGAAAAATTAGACTTTTCTTTTTTTAATTTAACATAATTTTTGTTTTTACATTTAATTTCGCTTTTATTTCTTAAGTTTCAGTGTTGTGCGGCACTGATGAGCTTGAGCATCGCTATAGAGGCCGTATTGAGAAGTTTGTTTTTAATAATTTTTTCTTTAGTTAATTTAATTTAGAGTTAAATTTGGTGTTCCTGTTAATGAGGCTTTTTCTCCTGACATTCCTGCAACTCTTTTGGTATTTTCTTAAAAAATCATTTTTTAAATTATTTTAAAATAAAGGTGCTTCTGTTGAAAGTAAATAAGGAAGGACCTCTCAAAAAGGATATTTGGCGTGCACCGGGTAACCAAGCACAAGTGCGGAAACTTTCGAATATCATGGTTTGTTTTTATATTTAGTTATTCTCTTTCTGTTTTATTTCCAGCTTATAAACTTTTATTTTAGCAACATGGACGACTTGTTAATATTTCGAACATTAGCGTTTACACCGCTGCCTCTGTCATTAAAGTTTTTTACGTTTTTATTACTTTTTGTGATGTTTTGTTTTCAGCGTTTTCTGGCTAAACTTCCTGGTGGAATTTTGGGAGCTGATAACGAGAAACGACTTTTCGAATCAGTTCAACAGGAAAATTTTAGTGATGATTCAAAACGTGAACTTTTTTGCAGGTAAATTATTTTAGTTTTGTTTTGTAAACTATTCTATTTATTTTTAGAATTGTTTCGAATTTGCCCATTCCTTCGCAGCATTTAATCGTTCTTCTTTTTGGGACTTTCAGAGTCATCACTGATTCTGCCGAAACTTTTGGGACCCGGATGACTCCTGAAGCAATTGGAATCTCTGTAGCACCTTCTCTGTTTCATACGTGTATACACGATGGACAAAGAGTTATTAGCAAAGAGTTTATTTTAATTAAAATAATTTTTAGGCAAAATTAGATGATATTATGCGTTTCAAAATTGCTTCTCAAGTAATCTCGGAAATAATTCGTGGATTTGGCTACACGAATCTATTCCCTCGTGAATGTTACGAATTCTACGCTCGTATAACTGGGCGCACATTGCGTGTTGATGAACAATGGCATTTTTCGTTCCAGTTGCCATCAAGTATGTTTTAAAATTATTGCTTTGGTTCAGTATATCTGAGGTAAAGTTCGAGACATAAACACATACCATTCGATTCGTCTCGGCAGGCTATTTTCCTGAGATCGCTATTTTCCTAAGGTGCCTTTAGACCAAGATATATGTCTACGAAAAATCGAAAAACCTCAGGGACCCAAACACATCGGCAAAACATTCGATATCTCGCTACAAAATTAGTTTTTTTTACAACAAAATTAGTTTAATCCGATGATTTGGAACAAAATTAAGATCAATGAATAAGGTTTTTCGATTTTCCTGGTCATACATATATCTCGGTTCTTTCGATTCAGCTCGTCGAGACGATCGAATGCGCGTGTTTTGTATCAAAACTTTACCTCCGGTATACTGTTTTATTTTATGATTATTACATTGCTAGTTATTGCTATTCGAACCGGGTTGTTAGTCATTTTTCCACTTCGGATCTTCAAAAATTTTCGCTCCTTAATTGTTAAATGTCGGGCTAATTTTAACTAATACTTATCTTTCAATAACCAATTTGGGTAGCAGTAATTACTTTTGTAATAACGAGGAACAAACAAAACAAATAGGCTAGGAAACTTGTTTAAAATAATATTAATCCTAAGTTTTGCGTCGGTTATGTTTTCCAATTCGCTTTTTTCTTTCCTTTTTTCATTTTTAAGTTTCTGTTTTTGGTTGGTTTGTCTTTTTGTTTTGTTTGATTTTTCCGCTTTATTTATTTGTTATGCTTTTGGTTCTTTTTTAAAATTGTTGTGTGTGCTTTTTACAGATGGTATTGGCTGCTTCAATCCAATTGCAGTAAATCGTCGTAATAGCCATCGGTCTCAACGTAAATCCTCTTCATCTGCATCTTCTATTGCTTCAGTTCTTTCACAACTTCATTCGACACCGCCTGTTCAAATAAACGACAACTTTGATTTAAATGCTAAGACGCCAGAAAATTATCTTCCAGCTTCTCCAAAAAGTTATCTTCCACCTTCACCGAAAAATTATCTACCGCCTTCTCCAGTCTTCAATCCAATTTCAATATGTCGACGACCGCCTCCACCAACTTCTGCTCTTCAGCGTCGTATTGACGCCTACTGTGCGGCAGCGAATCTTAATACAAAAGAACAAAACTTAATCCAAAAGAGGAAATCATAAATTCATCTTAAAAAGCCAAGTTAACATATTTAATTACCTCACTCCAATAGCTCTTGTGCCTGTTTGCTTTATCTCATGGAACGTTAATTGGTAAATCGACCTGCTGCCTTCCATATTAAAAATTACTTAAAGTATACCTGTATTTAAAATATTTTCTGATTATTATGGAGTTTCGTATTAGTAACCTCTTTGGCCTTTTTTATTGAAACAAAAATTAAATTTTTTCTAAAAACAGCCAAAGTATTTAATTATGGAAACGCCATAAGTTTTCGCCCTGTTTTTTTAATGATAATATTCATATACATATAACAATGCACAATTAGCCACTTACATTAGCGGACAAAAAAGTAGGGACAAGAGTAAATGAAATGAAAATTACTATTCTCCCAGTTAAAAATTAATTTTAGGAAAAATTTTGTTTGATTAAATACACACTTAAGATTTGCCGGGTTAATATTTTTTGATATTCAGCCCATACTGAAATAGGTTAGGTATGCTAATTTTTGCACGACAAGAAGATAGGGGCAAATCTTGTAACTAACATAAGTTACAAGATTTGAATTTTTTATTTGGGTGCATCCGCTATTTTCGTTATACCATTTTCATTTCTTACTCTTGTAACTTAAATGCCCTCTACTGTATGCCATCATGTTTTTGCGCGTAGATCTCTTTATTGGTTTTCCATTAACTCTAAACATTTATTCAAATAAATACGTGCTTTATCTTTTTCTGGTGATTTTGCTTTACATTGCATTGCATAATGCATTTAAATATATTTTATTTGCTTTTACATTTTTCTTTGGTTTTTAACTTCCTGTGTTTGGTTGTTTCACTTATCTAATTTTTGATTGAGTTATTTACTTAGATTTTGTTTTAAAAGACTCAATAAAATGTTTAGGAACTTGTATTTTAAATTTTTGATATACTACCTCAAAAATCACTAATTTAAGACCATATTCTAAGTTTTGTATACTAAATTATAACTTTAAACAACTTAAACAAAGACGGGCAATGGTTTTACGAATGTGGATACGACAATTTCGGACAAAGAATTATTAAAATAAGATCCTCTTTTTAGTAACGGCTGTCAGTTTCCGACTTTTGACGGTTTCCGAATCATTTCTGAACTGAAAACAAATTCTTTTAAATTTTATATCCGTAATTGTCATACCGCACGGGCAACACCAATTCAATAAAAGAATTCAGGAACACTTAGTCAACCGTCCATCCGATTTGAGCAATCAAAGAGCCCTACTCATCACCCAACTAAAACATCAGAAGGGGAAGAAATCCATGAAACATACGAGGAGTTTTGCGAGGATGAGGATATTTATGGCGAATCATTGATTGGGTTAACAGGTGGCCGTCCGTATGCAAGGCGTCGAGATGTTTCCAAGTCTCTGGATGAGCAGAGGGCCAAAGCCGAGGGATGGAGGGAAATTTTGATGCGTAAAGGGCGACAAGAGCGCTTAAGCACTTCTATGGGCGATGTATGTAGTTTAGTGTATTTAAAAGGAAGATGGGGAAACATTTAAGAATCCGGGGGATTTGAAAGGATATCGGTATATTATGGGATTTGAATCGATTAAGGGGGAGATAGGATTCGGAGCGATTGAGAGGGATACTAATTTCTAGATAGATTTGGAGTGATTAGAGGGTGTATAAAGTTATTTGAAGTTATTAAGGGGGATCCGAAAGGATTAAGAGGATTCGAAAGATGTCGTACCTCGTACTTGGTAAGCGGTACGAGAATAGGGGTGATACGAGTACGAGCAATTCTGAAATTTCCATGCACTGCATACAACTAAATATGAGAAATAATATCAGAATTAAAATTTTTGTAGGTGATTGTTCACAGTGAGGAGGAAGGAGATCATACTGAATGTGGAAAACCCGGTGACAATCGTGATTATTTGGAAAGTACACGTTCACTCACCTACCTTGAATGGGTTCATGAGCGACAAACTAGACGAATGCAAACTCGTTCTGAGTGGTTTCTATCACCTACTGCACCATCGTGTACTAATGGTGGAGCATCAAGAGTTGAAGGCGGACGAATGTGCTACTCTCGTATATCACAACGTTTTTCAGCTTCGCCCATTCATCTGCGTTTATCTGCAAAGAAAGTAACACCATCTCGAGAGGAATATACGAGGCAATATTCAAAAATTTCATAATTTTTTGTTAATATTTTATTTCAGTTCGTGTGATGAAGAAATGTGTTGTTGCTCGTCTACAAGTGGAACATGTGGAGGAGCTGGAGCGGGCTATAGTGAAGTTGGCTGTGGACGTTCAGGTTGTGCTGCTATTTGTGGTACATCTACTGACACATCAATGAAATGTTCGCCACGACGGCCTGACTCTTGTTGCACGACTAGTGGTTGTTCAGCGGGTGACGCCCAAATGAAGTCGCAAACTGGCACAGAAGAGGAGGAAGCTGGAACATCGGATGATGATGCTTTTCTAGCTGGTAGCAATATTGAATACCAACACCCTTTACGTTCGAATCTCTTGACCGTTGGTTAAAATATTTGAATTCAAAATAAACAAATTTTGTCTAGCAACATCCTCATTCGCCAACAGCAAAAATTATACTCGGCCGACAGCCATTTCAGCTTCTTCAAGAACGACAATATTCTACTAGTACCACAGATGGTTCAGCAAGTGCGCAAGTAACACCTTCAGCTGTTGAACTTTGTGCTAGTGGAAAAAGTGTTGGAAGTGGACGACAGCGTTTTTTTGGAAGTGGAGAACATGAGGGTGGATTGCAGGTCCCTATTATAGTTTTCAAATGTTTTTATTAATTATTAACAGGCTTTACCAGAATTGTCCGAGACAACTACGTCTTCACCGCTACCTCGACGTTTTTCAGCTCCATATGTGGATATTTCACCTACAGATGAACAAAATAGGGCAGAGGTACACATTTGTAAAATAACAATAAAAAGTTTAACTTTTAGGAGATAGTGCCAGCAAATACGGCAACACGGACGACTGCTGTTAGCAGCGTTTTGACACGTCCAAAACATCAACAAAAAGGTGCTAAATTAATCCAAACAATGAGCAGTGGTAGCAGCGGGAGTGGAAGTGGTAGTGGAGGTAGCGGAGCTAGTGCCCAGACTGTGATTGGTGTTGCTGGAGGTACTTAATGATTTTTAGTTAAAATTTAGAAAAATTAAACTTTCTTTAGTGAGCATAGAGCAGACTGAAATATTACAGCAGCAACAAGCAAGAATAGTGGGTACTGGTGTGGTCCGACGGCGTAGTTGGAGAACTCATTATACACGCCCGAAAAATAAATCTCTTGATAGTGAGATTGTTGTTGGAGTTGACATTAGAGAAGTGAGGGGATTTTTTTATATTTGAAATACTTAAATTTTATCTTAAAGGAAGCCACTCCATCTTCTTCTCATTCAATTCATTTACGCTGCAGTTCCCCTCTTATTTTTGGTCGTAGACATAGCTCTAATGGAGATGCACACAAGGAAAAAGGCATAACAGAAGCGACCCCACAAACATCATCGACCACTCCAACAGCAGAAAGAGGGACGCTTATTAGGAGAAAATCTTCAAATAATAATAATGCAACTAAATCAAAACCGCCTGTTCAAACACGTAAAAGTACTCAAATATAATTTGAATTGCTTTTCTCGAATGATCTCTTTTGTCCTCAATCTTTTCATTTTAAATTTTATTAATTAACATTCTTAATTTATAAAATTGTCTTTCATCTAGGGGGTTGGACCACGACCGGTCAGCACTTTCCTTCAATTACGGACTAAATTAACTATTTGAGATCGAGGTTAGACAGGTCAGGGTCCAAATCTGCTTTCATCAATTTACTCTGAAAGAATGAAACATTCATTAAGTCACTTGGCTTATTTTGTTTTTTTTTGTGATTTATTTCATTATTTTAAAACTGTCAAAAATTGGAAATACTCTGTTGAATTAATGTTTTTAATTAATTCTGCCAAAGATAGTTTTATTATCGCCTCGCAAATATATTTCAAGTCTTTCATATTCATTTTTTCAATTTTATATAACGCCTAAATCTTGATTCCAAAAACTGCCTGCTTGACAATACTTCAATGCTTTTTTTCAATTAATTTCGATTATATTTTTAATAAAATAATGTAAATTGCTTCACTTATTCTGTGTGGTTGTGTATTAAAAATATTTTACTCTTATGGATAAATGTTTTCACGAAAACTTTGTTCTTTTTGAGTATAAATTTGAGTGAATTTTACTCTTATCTTTAGTAAATTATTAATTTAAAGACAAAAATATGTCTGGAAATTAAGCTTCTAACCATCTGTTTTCTTATCATAATTTTGTCTTTAATATTATTAAAGACATGCTAGTTAATATTTTCTTTTACAATTTAATTAGTCACACTTTATGATTCAGCTGTTGATAATAAAATGATTTATTTTCAAGAGGACCATGAACCTTGAAAATAATTTTTTTAAATTAAATAATTAATTAGTTTAATTTAGTATATAAAATTAAGTTTAATAATATTTTCACATTTTTTATGGTTTGAAATGCCACTAATTATTACTCTTTTGCGTTTGTCGGTATCCTTCTATTTTTGGGCGGTCTCATTTGTGTTCAGATTTTTGAATTTCCTTTACAAACGTCGAATTGTGGATAAAGCAACAAATGAAGTTTTGCTTATTTCTGCTGGAGAGGCAGCTGCAATGATTAGAAGGGGGGAGGTAATTTGTTGACTCTTGTCGAATTTATACATTCAGTCAGAAGTTTATGCGCCCAATCAATCTAAACAATATTATTAACTAGGAAATTATTTTCGATCAGAAGTATCATTAATTCTCGGAGCATCACTAACTTGGAAATATCAATTCCACAATTCCTAACTGTTTAGATTTGAGTTTAATTGGGCACGCATAAAATATTTATTGAACGAATAAACTTTGATTGGATTATTAACGGGATAAGGTCCAATTTATCTCTAAGTTTGAAAATTTAAAATAATTTTAGATAGGATCTCTTCAATTAGTCGAGGCTTATATTGAGAGAATTCGGCATGTTAATGGAATGTTAAATGCAGTTGTAGAAGATAATTATGCGAAAGCCAGGGAAACCGCTCAGCATGTTGACAACTATTTAAGTCTTATTAACAGAAATTCTGAAGAATTGGCTAAGGTTATAGTCTAATTTAATTTAAAAATATTTTGAGTTTTATTTTCTAGTTAGCAAAAACAAAACCTTTATTTGGTGTTCCGTTCACTGTTAAGGATAATACATTTTGCAAAGATTTTGTGTGTACGGCAGGTGTTCCTGCAAGAAAACAAAATGAACCTTGTGAGGAGGATGCTGAGGCTGTTAAACGGTTTCAACTTAAATTTGTTTTTGATTTTAATTTCAATAATTGTAGAGTTAAGGATGCTGGTGCAATTTTGCTAGCAATAACAAATGTTCCAGAACTTGCTCTTTGGTGGGAGAGTAGCAACAAAATTTATGGAAGAACTAATAATCCTTATGATGTTCGAAGAACTCCTGGTGGTAGTAGTGGAGGTGAAGGAGCACTTATTGCAGCAGCTGGATCGGTTATTGGATTGGGGAATGATGTTGGTGGATCTCTACGCGTTCCAGCTGTTTTTTGCGGAATTTTTGGACTGAAACCTGGACCTGGTTTTTAAATTTTTTTTATTTTTATCTGATTTATTTTAAAGGAATTGTTCCTTCTTCCGGGATTATTCCTCATGTTAGAGGTGGTTATGTTACTCAAATGGCATCGGCTGGACCCATGGTTAATTTAATTATTAAAACTAATTCAAAAAATATTTTTTAGGCTCGTTATGCTTCTGATTTGGCATTAATGCTTCAAGTATTTTGGCTTTTTGGAATTTATATTTTTCAATTTTTAGGTCCTTGCTGGAGAGGAGGTTGCTCAAAATCGGCTTCATTTACAACAACCAGTTAATTTCAAGAATGTCAAAATTTTTTATATGGAGGAAATTAAATCTTTATTTTGTCAAAATTTGTCAAAAGAAATGCGTCACGTTGTTCGAAAGGTTTTAAAATTTAGAGTTTATTTTAAATCTAACAATAAATATTTTAATGACAAAATTTTTCTTTTTATTTATTTAAATTTAGACAGCTAAATATTTTGAAAAAAAATATGACATTAGCACACACCGTCTCGATTTATTGTTAGCTCATCATGCTCATGAAATGTTTTTAACTTCATTAGATGAAGATGATTATGAAAAGATAACAATGGCTATGTCTAATTCGAAGGTCTAAAAATTATTAATTTGTTTGGTAATAGTGTCGTTTCCAGTCCGCATTTTTCCTCCCCAATTTTTTACCCTATGTTTGTACGGAATGGTCAAATTTTCCCTTTTCTTCCATCAAATTTGCCTTTCCACATTTTGCCTAAATACAATCAAAAAGATTAATTCTTACCTTCCCCTCAAATTAGAACTTCATTTTTTACAAAATTTTCTGCACAGATATCACGGAAAAATGACCTTAAAAGAAGGTACCACATTATGTGGTACCTTCAAAGAAGGTACCACATAAATAACCTTAGAGTAAAGATTTTTTAAAAAAAAAACTTGAAAAAAGAACCTTGTTTTTCTCTACAATTTCTAGTTGTACACCGCCAACATCCATATCTTTCGTTTTTCATAACGTTGATACCTGTTCGACCCCCACATTTGTAGCAAGTTCTTTTTCCATGAAGTAGTCCAAGCTTCTCAAGCCATGCATCGAAATCATTATCACTCAAACGTAATTTTTCATATAAATCAATAGGTTTGAAATTCTTTAGTTCTTCCATTTTTATTAATTGGGAAAATGATTCTTCTCATTACTCTAATACCTATTTAAATATCACAAATTAATCTTTTTTGATTGTTTTTAGGCAAAATATGGAAAGGCAAATTTGATGGAAGTAAAGAAAAAATTTGACCATTCCGTACAAACATAGTGTAAAAAATTGGGGAGGAAAAATGCGGACTGGAAACGACACTATTACCATTTGTTTCTTTAAATTTATTTTTAGTATGATGTTAATTGTGTTTTTGAATTAATTAAATTCCCGTTGGGTTTGTCTGATCACACATTGCCGGCTATATTTACAGGAATGCGAAGCAAGCTTCCAAAAAAGAATGAAGCTAGAAGAAAATTTGTTAGTTTATTTTTTAAATTTCTTTTATTTATCCAATTATTTTTAGATTAACAGTAAACGTGATCAGTTACGCCGTGAAATTGTTGATTTGTTGGGCAAGGATGGAATTTTAATTTTTCCTGCATGGCCTACCACAGCACCATTTCATCAACAACCTTTGCTTACTCCAATGAATATATGTTAGTAATAATTAAAAATTAAAAAATCTTTTTATTTTCCCAGTATATACAGCATTATGGAATACTTTAGCTTTGCCTGTTCTTGCTTGTCCTATGGGAATTAATTCTGAAGGTTTACCTGTTGGTGTTCAAATTGTCTGTGCACCAGATTCTGAAAGGTTACTTTTGGCAGCAGCTCAAGATTTGGAGGAAGGTTTTGGCGGATGGACACCTCCTGAACCGCCTGGAGGGTGGAGACAATTTGTAAGAAGAATTGTCAGTCGTTGATTGTTTTAAAGGAATATTACTGCCTAACACTTATATTTTTTTAATTTTTCAAGAAAGGCAAAACTTTTAATTTATCTTTTTCGATTGAGATTTGTTGTAAATTTAAATGCCTTTCTTGGAAACACTTACATTTTTTGCCTCAATTTTATTTTTCATCCTATCATATATTTGTATTTTTCATTTCTTATTTATTTCGTTTACTAAAGATTTTTTGATTGAGATTTTTGTTGAAAATTAATTTTTTTACGAATTAATCAAAACCCGAACATTAAAATTTATTCAAAATTTCTCAATCTTTGTGTAAAATCTTTATTAAATGTAAATTAAAAATACTGCCATAAATTCCCATTAATTATTTTTTATTTTCCAATACTTCATTTTAATTTAATAGATTCACATTTTTTAAACATTCACTTACATATTTTTCAATAAAATATTCACTTTACAATTAATTTAATAATTTTTTACCTGTATAAATATAATCTTTTAATATTAATTGTAACATTTCAATACCTCTTATTATTTAATATTAATTACTACAATATTAAATTAATTTTCCTTTTTTTTATTATTTATTTTTTAATAATTAATATATAAATAATTTTTTTAAGAAAATGATTTTTAATCGACTTTATTTTCAAAAATCTTTAAATTTATTTTTGAATACCAAATCATTAAATGTCAAAACTTTTGCTTATTTGTCAACTGGACATGAACATTTTCTTAGTTTTGTGCCGGAATTAAGAGTTGGAATTGAAAATGATGGAAAAGCAAAAATCAATTTTGAGAAACTTAATGAAAAGGTTAGTTAAAAATATTTAGGTAATTTACTCCCCCCTCCCTCTTTTATATTCTTGATTGTTCACATAAACCAGTTTATTAGAAAGGAATCAATTATCAAATAATTTTTAATTTTAGGTCCTTCTTGTCTACTTCTCTGCTGGATGGTGTGCAACTTGTAAAGGGTTTACTCCTTTATTGAAGGTAAATATAGAAAAATATTTAAAATTAATTTTATATTTCAAGAAATTATATAATCATTCGAAGGATGATTTGGCTATTTTGTGGATATCTAGAGGTATAAACAATGTTTTTAAAAATAAATAAAATTATAGATAAAACTGCTTCTGAACAAATGGAGTATTATACAAACAGTTTGGATCCAACTTGGATGTATGTTCCTTTGGGTAAATCAACTAGGTTTGTTTAAATTTTTATGTGAAATTATTTTAATTATTTTTTAGAGATTTTTTGAAATTATATAAATTAGCTGGTCTTCCAAGTGTCAAATTAGTTGATAATAATGGAAAGTTTGTAGAGGATGTGAAAATGCAAATTGAGGTATTTTTGGTATTTAAATATTTTAAATAAATTTAATTTTTAAAAGAAAAATTCTGATAATCCAAAAGAATTAATTCAATTATTTAAGTCAAAAACAAATAATTAAATTATTTTTGTGTCCCAGATTATTTAATTGTTTTGATTATGTATATGTATTTCTCTTTATATTCTAAATAAATATTTTTAGGTATTTTTCAAACTAACTAGATATATCTAATCTTTATAGTTATATTATCAAAATTGAGAAACTTGTGCAATTTAGCTCGTTTAAAAGAGCTTTTCGAAAAAAGTACTCTGATTAGATTATTCTGATAAAGATTACAATCAGATGAAACTTCATTGAAAAATAATCTTGAGTTAGCTGGGCATGATTTTGGCTACACGATAGCCGTGCTTCGGTTGTCATTCTGTTAAACATATGCCAGGCTTCCTCCGCATCCTTGTCCATCAAATAAGCTTTAATTTGTACAAGTTTATCAATTTATAAATATCTAGTTATTAAAATTACATGGAAATACTTGTTTTTATTTTAAATTTATTCAAAAAAATTTTATTTAGGAATATTTTTGAAAGTTAATTAATAAATAATTAATAAATTTAAATTATAATTTCAACAATGACAACAACTTATTCAACTATTACAGTTCAAGCTCCAATGAATATTGCTTTAATTAAATATTGGGGAAAGAAAAATAAAGTTTTTTAAATAAAATTATTTTAAAAAATATTTTTTAAAAAGGATTTAATTATTCCTTTAAATGATTCTATATCTATAACAATTAACAGTTTATGCGCAATTACAAAGATTACTGTTGATTCTAATTTAGAAAATGATTTGGTTATAATTAATGGAAAAATAGAAAATAATTGTCGTTTTGAAAGAGTTTTTAATGTAAATTTAAAAAGATTTTAAATTAAATTAATTTTCTAAAAAATATTAGGAAGTAAGAAGTATTGTTGATAGAAGAAAGAGAAATGTGAATGGTGAATTGTTAAATGAAAATAAATATTTTAAGGTTCATAAATTATTTATTTATTTTTAAATTTAATTTAAATATTTAGATTGAATCTAAAACTAATTTTCCAATATCGGCTGGATTAGCTTCTTCGGTTATTAACTTTTTAAATTATTTTTGAAGTTTTATTTTTTAATTTAGGCTGCTGGTTTTGCTGCAATTTCTTTTGGACTAGGCTCTCTATTTAAATTTAAAGAATTAAAAGAAATTGTTAGAATTGCTAGAATTGGTTATTTTTAAATTTAAAATTAAATATTTTTTGTGTGAAGGTTCTGGTTCTGCTTGTAGAAGTATTCTTGATGGATTTGTTCATTGGAAAGCGGGGAATAGTGATGAAAATGATTCTGAATGTATTTGTGAGGTAATTTTTAACAATTAAATTTAAATAATTTTTAAAAGCAAATAACACCAATTTCACATTGGAAAGAACTTCGAGTACTTGTAATAACTACAAATGAACAACGTAAAAAAATTGGAAGTACAGAAGCAATGCAACGTACAGTTTTAACTTCAAAACTTTTAAAGGAAAGAGTTGAGGAATGTGTTCCGAAAAGAATTAAAAAGTTTTTTTTTAAATTAATTTTAATACTCTCAATTTAAAGTTTAAAAGAAGCTATTTTAAATAAAAATTTTCCTCAATTTGCTGAAATAACAATGGCTGAAAGTAATCAATTACATGCTGTTTGTCTTGATAGTTATCCTCCAATTATTGTTTGTTTTTTAAATTTTTCTTTAAATTTATTTTATTAAAAAAAGTATTTAAATTCAACATCATTTTTACTGATGGAATTTGTTCACGATTTCAATACTTTTTATTCTTCACCATTAATTGCCTATACATTCGATGCTGGCCCCAATTGTTTTTTATTTTTTGAAGAAAAAACATTTCCATTATTTTATAATTCTTTTAAAAATTGTTTTAATTATAATAAAGATTTAATTAAAATTCATTTTGATGAAAATGAAAATAAAGAAATTGTTAAATCAATTATTAATGAAGAAGGTAAAAGAAATTAAATAAAATTAAAATTTATTTTTTAAAGAAAATAATGGAGAAATATTAAAAGAGGGTAAAGAAGAAAAAAATAAAATAGAATTTCCTTGGTTAGAAGCAAAACAAATTAATATTCAACAATTATTACTTAGCAAAATTGGAGATGGACCGAAAATTTTAGAATAAATTTTTGAAGAATTTATTAATTATTTGTTAATTCACTAATTGTTAAATTTTTAAATTTATTTTTACAAAATAAAAAAATATTTTTATTAAATTATACATGCAAATTTATAAATTAAAAAATAATTTTTTTTGAAAATCTTTATTTTACTTCTTTTTCTCTTTCATTTGTACAATAGGCCAACGAATATTATATTGGGGAGGTTGATTATCTCTTTCTCCATTTAAATATTGGGAGTTTTTATAAAAATAAGGAGGAAAATCATTATTATTCGAATTAATTCCATTATTATAGTTTTGTTGAAAATTTCCTTTAGAATTTCCTCCAAAGTCTATTGTGCCCCCATGGTATGGTTGGGGAGGATAGGATGGATGCCCTCCTGTTCCGAATTGTTGTAAATTGGCGGCATTATTTGGTGAATTGATAGGAGGAGGAATACAATCAAAAATTGATTTACCGTTATTTATCTCACTAAATAAAAATATTTTTTTTGAAAAAAACTTTTTTTTGATTGTTACCGATATGGTTGATAATAATTGCCAAGATTTGTTCCATAACCATTTGAACCAAAATAATAGGGAGGGTAAACAAAAGAGGGAGAGGAAGAACGTCCAAATAATGAATTTTGAGGTAATCCTTGTTGGGGTAATTTATTTTGATAATAAAATGGATATTGTTGTTGTTGTTGATTAATAAATCCTAGTAAATAAAACAATTATGAGCTGGACTGGTATATCTCGAAAAATATTAATCTCGATACCCGAACTTGTCTCAGTCTGGTATTTAATTTTAATTAATTTTTCTGTCAACTAACCAGATGAGGGATATATTTTATTTTGATTATTAGTATATTGTTGAGAATATATATAATTAATTAATTCAAATAAAATTATGAAGAATAACATTTTTTAATAAATAAATATATACTTAAAAAATTATTTTATAAATTATTAGATAAATAAATAAATTATTTGGATAAACTAAATATATTTTTAATAAATAAACATTTTTATACTCTAAAAGAATTATTTGCGCAAGATTAAAAACTAACTATTAAATTCAATGACACAAAACAAGCATGACCTTCTTTTAATTTTTTAGAGATTTTTCCTTTGAAATTTTTATTTTTTTAACAAAAATATTTTTAAATCCTTTAAATGCCCTATATTTTAAATAAAAATGGTTAATATTTAGTCTCTTTTGATTATAATAAAAACTTTTTTACAAAACGGATTAAGGCCAGACAATTTATAGTAAATTATGAATATTCTCTAAATACTGCAGAATTTTACAATAAATAAATATACTGTAAATGTTCCAATAGAAGCTCTGGGCGTTTATTCTTCAATACCCTTCATTGAGTGGGCTTCTAATAGAGCATGGGCTTCTATTTGAGCCGGGCTTCTTTGAAACATTTACGGTATAAAAAATGTTTCACAAAATGTTTAGTAAAGTTCTAAAGACTCCCAGCTATGTAGCCCGGAAACCTGATATATCCGGGTTTTCTGGTTTTATCCCGAAAAGCTCGGCCTGGGTCTTATTTGAAAATGTTAAAATTTAAGATTTACCTTTTAAAGTATAATTAAAACTAAAAAGTAAGATTATTTATTTATTTTACAAAATCACAGCCAAAATAATTTCCATTTATTATTTTATTTCCAAAATTAAATTTAAATATTAATTTTTGTTTTAATTTTATATATTTTTAAAATTAAATTCAAAGAAATTTTTCTTTCGGAAAATTTTCTTTTGTCTTTTTATTTATCCACTCACACACACATTTTTTTTCTTTTCTCTGCCAAATCGAATAAAATAAATAAATATTTTTTTTAACTAGAAACAAGCAAAATATTTTTAAATCTTTTTTTTTATTTAGAAAACAGTTGCTACATTAATTTCTTTTTTTATTAATTTTCTAAAATCGATTTGAACAACTAAAAAGTGATTTGTCTTTTCCTCTTTTTTAAATAAAAATTAATTTTTAAATTTAAAAAATATTCTTTTTTTTTGTCATTTTCTTTTAAAATTTAATTTTTCTCTCCCACAATTCTCCAATTTCTTTTTTAGATTTTTAAAGCTTTTTCAGAAAACCAATTTTTTTTTCTTTAAAATTCTTCTCTTGATTGTTGTTTTTAGTAGTCCAAATAATAAAAGAATTTAAATAAAAAGGGCAAGAAAAATAAAAAAAAATAAAAAAGAAATTTGTAATCTTTAAAGCAAATTTTATTTTTTTAAAAAATTTCTAGAGAAAATTGTCAACTGTTTAAAAGAGATAAGAATTTTATAAAATTGTTTTGACTTTTTTTAATAGTGAATTAAATAGAAAAAATTGTTTTTAAAAAATAAATAAATTATTTATTTGTTAACCTTTTTCCCCTCTTTTTCAATCTTTTAAAAAAGGATAAAAAAATTTTTTTTTTAATTTATATATTTCTTTTTCCAAATTTATTCAAAATTTACTCTTTTTATTTTTTTAAAGGAAATTAAAAAAAAATTAAAGATTAAATGTCCAAAGAATTTAAGTTTAAAAAATAATTTTTAAAAATTATAATTTATTTTAAAAACTTGACGTAAACCACACAAGATTTCTCAAATGTCATTTAAGAATATTTAAAAAAAAGATGAATATATAAATGAAACAATTGTTCACATTTCATGAAAAAACAAATATTTTTTTCAAATTTTTATTTTAAAATATTCAATCTTTTTTTAGTTAATAAAATATAAATACAGTTTTTCATATACATCAGATCCCACGTTACTTCCCTTTATAGGTCCCGATGTGTGTCATTATAGAGAGAATTTTGTCTGTATATATTTAATTAATATTTAAAATATATTATTTTATTTTATTATAAAATAAATCTTTTATTACATTTAAGAAAATAATTTTTGTGTTTGAATTTTAAACTGATACTTGTCTGTTTATTAAACGTTATTTAAATTAAACTTTTAATTATTTAGAATTAAATAAAAGCACTTTTGTACTTAAATATTTAGCTTGTTTTCCTCCTTCTTCTTTCTTCAAACAATTATTTCTTTCTTAAATATATTTATTTTTTATTCAAAAAAACTTCCTGTGCTTTTCTTCTTTTTTCTTCTTTCCTACATTTTTGAGGCTGCCAATTATGTCTGCGTCACGTAAAAAAATATTTTATAGAGAGGCAGAAAGGCAAGAAAAAAACATGGAAAGGAAACAGAAATAAAGTAAAAAGAAATCTTTTTATTTTTTAAGAGAAAGAAAAAACATTCCCAAAATTGGAGGGGGGGGGGTGTTTATTAGATAAAGAGTGTGCCTTCAATTAGTCTGGTAAATAATTAAAAATAAAATTGAAACTTTTTGTTTTTATTTTCTAAAAAAATTTTTCTTTTACACCTCTAAATTATTTATGCCAAAAGAGAATTATGTAAGAGAAAAAAATAAAAATTGTAGGAAATCATCACCTTCATCTTCCTTTAAATTTTGCGAATAAAATTTTCAGACTTTTGCCGGAATTTTTCCTATTTATTTCTCTTAATTCTTCCACTTTCCTTTTCCTTATTTTTTGTAAGTTTTTTTTTGTAAAAAAATTAAATAGAATATATTTTTTAATCTACATACATAAATTCAAATCCCTTGCGTGTTTCAAATAATTTATCTAAATTTCATTTAAAATATTCTTTCTTTTTTCTTTTTCTTTTTTTCTTTTCGCGCGCTTAATTAGATTTTTGTTCGTCTTTAGAATAAAAAAAAAGATTTTTAAAAGCCTCTAGCATTTTTTGCCTTTTTTATAAATAGTAAAAATTGAAAAATAAATGGTTTTGGCAAAAATATTTATCAGAAAAAGATTAAAAACCAAAAAAAATATTTTTGGAATTTTAAACAGATTTATTTTTGTTTTAATTTTTAAAATTTAAATTAATTTTTAGAAGAATTTAAATGGTCTTTTGAAATTAAATTGCTCTGTTTGGGAAATAAATATTTAATTAATTAAATATTCTTTTTATACGCTCTTACTAACATAATATTCAATTATATTTTAACAAAAAAATCTTTTATTTCGATTAAAATTTTAAAAACTAAAAACATTTATTTTCTTTTATTCCTCCAAGTTTTCTTCCGGTACATCTTTTCTTTTTTTTATTTTTAAATTTATTTCCCCCTTTATTCTTCCATGCTTATTCACTCCATAATATATTAACTTTATATATATTCTCCACTTTCATTTTTTCAAATTTCCATTGATGTAGCGGATTTTTCTTTACTATTATCATGCTTTTTATAAAAGAAGAAATTGTTTTAAAATAAATTATTTTATATTTAAATTATTTTTATTATTTTTTAGTCAATTTTGTATTTACCGTAAAAACTATTAATGTCCTTTCCTCCCTCAAATAATTACCCATGCTTTATTTATTACCCTCTCCAACGAGAGATCGATGCAATAAGTACCCGGTGTAATTATTTTAATAAATACTGTTATTATTTTCCTTTAATTCAAGCAATTTTAAATTATTCCCCTTTTATTATTTAATTAATTTTCTCCAACCTTTTATTCTCACGCCCTTTATTTTTTAATTAAATTTTGAAAAAACAACATTTTATTAAATTAAAATTATTTTTTTTTCAGAAATTAATTAATTAAATAATGATTGACTACAGCGAAGTTTCTAATTATTCTTTGGCTAGTAGATCACGTACTCCACATAAAAAGGTAAATTTTAATTATTTTTAAAATTTTTCCGCATGTTTTGTTTATTTCTACGGAAAAAGGACATTTTAGAGACTACCCCCATTTTCTCTTTCTTTTAATTTTTTCGAACAAAAAATTATTTCATCATTCAAAAATGGAATAAAAC